CGTTTGGCTTCTTTTTCACTACTGCTTCAGACAAGTTGAAAGAAATGACCAGAAAAGGGTGTACAAAGAAGTACAAAACAAGTTACTTTATTAAGTTACATGTTAAGTTTTGTTGATCATTATGAATTTGATATTAATGCTTGCATAAGAAGCATTGTAAGTATCATGCAAGAAAAGTCAGATCATGCGCGAGGCCTGTATTTTCATCATTTATAACTTGTTCAGCATTTGTTGTACTTGTTATATTTTCTATTATGGCATTCTGCAACACGAATAAGATGACTGTCACCAGTGAACATGGTGAAAGAAGGTTTCTGCAGGTCAACAGTAATGATCAAAATGCACATGGAAGCACTTGTATACATTACAAAGAGTGCAAAATAGCGGGAACCTCTTTTTTTAGGGGGGGGGCATTTTGTTCACTTTAGGTTTTATTATCTGTAGCTCTCTTTGTTTTCTTCCACATAACTTGAAACATATGAGATTATAATATTACAATTTGCAGACCAATTATATTATGGCATTCTGCAACAAGAATATTAAAGATGACTGTCACCAGTGAACATGGTGAAAGAAGGTTTCTGTAGGTCAGCAGTAATGACCAAAAATGCACATAGAAGCACCTGTATACATTACAAAAGACCAATTTGAAACCTACATGTACATGTGAGGTGTTGATATTGTAGTATGTGTTCTGGAATACTGAACACATGTATGTTATTGTGATTGTTTTCTTCAATCAAATATAACAAAAAGAACAGATTGAACAAAGAAGTTCAAGTACTACAGTGTACATGTACACATTGAACAAGTTAGTTTATTAAGTTAAAGGGAACATGAAATAAAATTTTGATTGCATTTTTTTTGCTTAAATCAATAAAGGATGATGTTCTTAACAATATTTTGTGTATGGCGGTGTTTATTTTCTAAGATAAATGGGGGAAAATAATTTGTAAACATGTTTGGTCAAACTACTCCGCCCCACAAAGGGAAGCTTCATTAACATAAAACTTCGCGAGGGGTATGACGTGAGTGGAGGCAGAGACTTGCCGCGCTGCGGGGGCACCGGCATTGCGGCGTGCATCATAATACATGTACATATACATTGCGGCACTGAAAGTTTTTCTGGTGTTTCGTTCGGAATCGAGGAGAAATAACACCCGATTTTCGGCCATGCCGACAAGGTGTGTGGCTGCTGGGTGTAGCAAAACTACCAAGGATGGATGGAGTAAGCCTTCATTTCCAGTAAATCCGAAATATCGGAGCATTTGGAGAGCCAAAGTGAAGGTAAATACCAGAGCAAAGTGGTCCGGGCCCAGTGAGTTCGCTGCCCTCTGCGCTGCACTTTGAGCCGCACTTTGAGCCGTCGTGCTTTGATGCTGGTCTTTACAGCAACTTGGGCATGCCCCTAAAAAAACATCGAGTCAGTGTCTGAATCATTAGAACTCAGATTCGAATCGGACGAATCTGTACCATTTTCATCGGATTCGCTAAGGAAAGAAGAGGACGGTCTTCGGAACTTTTACGGTCATGACGGTCGTCGTGTTCATTCGACAACGGTGGCACCGTGGCACGTCCACGTGTACTGTACATATCCCATGTAGACACATTCGTACGTGTGCATATAATGCCACGTACGGGTACGCGGCGGCTGCACATACACACAGCACAGTAGCTTCGCTAATCCGTCTCGTACCCAGACGTCATTTACGGGCCCTGGATTTCTCTGCCTTTGTTTATGTCATGAACAGCGCCCTCATTTGGAGTTGCCGCGAAAATCAAAAAGGGGGGTTCAATTTTGGACGGCAAATTACCACACTAAACGTACACCAGAACCAGTTCTGCTTTTATTTCACATTTAATACACATAAATGAATGTATATATAAAATAAAATACGTTATGAAAATTTTGGACTGCATGTTTCCTTTAAGTGTGAAACTTAAACCAAATAGAAACAAGTTCATTTGTGTGTATGTTTTGTTATCGCCACTACATGTGTCAATTATCTCATGTGCCAAAACTTGTTTTAGGTATTACGTCAGTTTTATGTATTACTTTGCACCAAGATGACTGCAGGGGGTGACCAAGAAGGTCCTCTGTGAGTTTGTAAAAAAATAGAAATGACCACTGTCCACATAGAAGATCCGAGACAGAAGTCCTGGAAGTTTCATTTGCATACATGTATACTTTGGCGGAAACGTTTGACTTTGACATAAGTTTGGTTTGTTCTGTCTTCTCGTTTGCTTCCAAATTATATGAGATTTTTTTTGTGTTACAACTTGTGGTCCAAATGAGAAGCAATCCTAAGGTGTTGAATTTATAATGCATATAATTTATGTACTTGTAAGTGATTGTTTTCTACAGTAACTTTTTCACACTTTACAAAATGTGTACATACTTGTGTAATTTGTGGGTGATTCGAACATTTACCGATAAATATGAAGTGCTGCAATTTCAGGGTTTATATTTCTTTAATTTAAAAAGGAATATTACAACTGCATGAGTGATTTGGTAGCTGGTGTGATTTTTTTGTTTGTTAAACAGCTCCAACGATTGATCCAATTTGGACATTGGATCGGCTACATGTATGTTTTGTCTTCCGAATGGATTTGAGCAAGAACACAAAAGAAAAGGTTGAACATGAGACAAGTAAAAAAACAAGTTAATTAAAGTTACTAAAGTGTTTGAAGTTCATTATTTTGTTTGTTATAAATGTAGAGGCCTATATAATGATAAAGCAGTTGTAAGGTATTCATTTGTTGTTTCTGCTTTATGTTATATCTGATCTGCACCAAGATGAGTGCTACAGGTCAAAATGGCTCGAGGTCTAGCTGTGAGTAGAAAACATTAGAAATGCCCACATGAAAGTACACAGTATGAAACTATGAATTGAAGGATTAAAAAAAGAATAGGTCTCTCTCAAATGACCTCATTTCCTACTGGTACAGATCAGCCACCATGACCCGTGCATCACCATTTTGAGAGTCAACTTGCATAACACACATTGGCTGCGTCATATTTCGGACACATTTCGAGCAGCAATTAAGCGTACATGTTTGGAACATTTTCAACACTGCGCAATGTGTGCTCGATTGTGTAAAAATACGCATTTGCAGTTCTACAGAGATGGCCGTCTTTGAGCAAGAAAAAAACCTTAATGTGTTTAAATTGAATAATACCGGTACACATGTTATGCAAAGCCTAGTCACACTTGTAGATGTACAAGGTATGGTGATGCAGAATATGTGGGTCAGATAATACAAGTTCACATAGTATTTTCTGTTGGGGGTGGGTGCTGACTTGATACACAAATGATTGTATTGCTTGCTTTGTCAAAAAAAAGCTCAGAATGTTACAGAGAACCTCAAATTCCACATATTGTATATGTTAACCAAATGAACAAAAAAGAGAACGTTAATTTGCAGTTCTTCATGTTTATTTCTTAAAGTTTTTTTTTTTCCAAATTAGATGACTCACAACAGTTATGCCATCATTACACAGGACATTCTTTATCTAATTTGCTTCTGGGCATTTTGCCATATTCTTTCGGGGGTATATAGAACCAAGCCGAGTGCAACATTAAGGGAGTTTTCGAAATCTTTGCTTCGTCTTTGGCTTCGGCTTTGTTTCGGACTTCTAAATCACTGAGAAGCAAACTAAACAAAAATATTCAAATTTTTGGCTCCAATTCAACCGATTGAATGTTCCTGAAGCATAACAGGCACCAAAATATAGCTGGATTTCCAGAAGTTGGGGGCCTATAAAATCTCCTTAAGCCAAAAACGAAGCCGAAGCCAGTCATTTCGAAAACGCTCTAACAATGCAAATTTAGTTTGTTTTATTTTGAAATTACAGACAAGTTGATATTAGTTTCTTAAAAGTGTAATTTCAGTGCTAGTCACGATTGTATCCAAGACATTGTGCAGGAACGGGTCTTGTAGTTAAAATGTTCATATTGACAGTGGGAAAAAGAAACTCACAACCAGTCTTGTTGGACACAATCACAGTAACAGTGTCAGTAAAATGTTATGCCTCACAATAACAGACTCTATAGATATCATTATTACAAAAGTAGAAATGCTATGCCAAGAGAAATGCTTGGGTTTTACAAAGCTTGGGAAAAAACATATGCCATCAATTTTCAACAAATTAACATTGTTATTACTGAGTTGAAGAATTTCCAGAACCTAATAAGCCATGATGCTTTGAATAATGGCCTATGGGTAGGCATTGAGGTATACATTTGAGGTTGTATGAACCTAATTGTTTCTGGGTTCCTGGAGGTAGCATCATCGACACCATGACTTAATTAAAGACTTTAAAGCACAAATTTGACTGAGGTGAATTGTGAAACATTACTCTGTATAAAAAGGTGAAATAAACACTGAGTTTTTCAGAGAAACGTTAATTACTTCACTTGATGTGAAACACTTGTCCAAATTATTTATTGTTTTCTCAAAACAAATGGTAATGAACTTGCTAGCCAGGTACCGGTACGAGAAAAAAAATATCAAAATTTGACTCTGGGGATTGGGCACAAAACAACCTCGTCCCCAGTGCTTACTTTATTTCCAACCGCGTTTCCAGGTAGTGGTGGGCGCGTACTGCACCCTGGAGACGAGGTTGGGCACACAAAATACCCGCGCAACATATAAGGCCTTTTTAAAATCCTGGCTTTGTTTTCATCTGGGCTTAAGAAAATGTAATGCGACCAACTTGTGGGACTTTATCTTCATTTTGGTCCCTATTATGCTTCAAAAACAATCATTAGGTTGATATAAAGCCAAAAGTTTTAATATTTTCGCTTGGTTTTCCTATAATTGATTCAGAATTTTGAGGCAAAGCCAAATCAGAAGACGAAGCATAGGTTTCGAAAACACCCCATTGTTTTCCCGCTTGTTTTCAGTCTCGTTCCCACAATGTCGAGCTAACAGTACGGTGCATAACAGAACGCGCCCCTTCTACTCGGACACGAGGTTGGTTAGTTTCCCGCCGTCAGCCATGTCAGCCATCATGTCAGCCGCGTGCATGAGTTTCTGAAAAATAACCAAGAAGATCTGTAAGTTTATTATAACATCATTGTATTTGTAAGGTTCGAACCATAGTCAGAGCAAGTGTAGTTATTCAACGTTATCTTTGTTATCAAGCATGTCATTGTCAAGCCAATATTTTGCGACTTTTTAGTCGGCGTGCGATGGATGGTCGAACCATGGAGCTGAAAATGGTCGAACCATGGAGGTAGGAAACATTACTGCATGTGGCCTTACGCTGGTACGCTATACAAGTCATGTCATGTAGCCTACACACTACAGCCAGAGCGGAGTACACACTGAAAAGTGATTGGTGATTTTGGTACCGATTTTGAGAGCGATTATCTTCTCATCGAGGACAAAGATTTCCAAAGTTTGGGTACTTGCTCGTAGAGAGACTCATAGGCCCTACTTTTCCATTAAAACTTCTGGCGTCTGGCCAAGAAACGACGATCAGCATGATCAGCAGTCTTCAAATTTCAAACATGAGATGCATTCTTGCCAAAAAAATTGGGGTTAAAAATCTCTCCATAAAACTTTTATGGAGAGATTTTTAACCCCAATTTTGTTGACAAGGAATCCTAAAAACTTGAAAAACTAGTTTGCCACGAACTAGTTTTTCAAGTTTTTAGGATTCCTTGTCTGCCATGTCTGCTTGTAACTTTTTAGCCCCATAATGTGGCCAGTTTACTGGACTGCCTCCGTAAACATAGGCCACACGTCCACCATCTTGGAATCTGACTCGCCGAAATTTTGTAAGTGATTTCCACATTGCGACTTCAAACCCAGTTCATTTATGCTTTAAAAATACACTTACCCTCTTAATAACAAAATTAGAACCTGCTGCCAGTGTCAGTTGCCCAGCTGCTGCGTAATTTACGACATTTTCTGGACCATTCTTGGCAACTTGATCCAACCGTGGAGCTATCTCCATGGTCCAACTGAACAATGCCCTCGTGCAGATCGTTCACCTGTCAATCACGCGTGCAGGACGCACGCCGCAGGCCCAGTGGTAGTCCGGTTCCCAGACCAAAAGATTCTGACTATTCCTGATCCTAGGAATAGTCAGAATCTTTTGGTCTGGGAACCGGACTACCACTGGGCCTGCGGCGTGCGTCCTGCACGCGTGATTGACAGGTGAACGATCTGCACGAGGGCATTGTTCAGTTGGACCATGGAGATAGCTCCACGGTTGGATCAAGTTGCCAAGAATGGTCCAGAAAATGTCGTAAATTACGCAGCAGCTGGGCAACTGACACTGGCAGCAGGTTCTAATTTTGTTATTAAGAGGGTAAGTGTATTTTTAAAGCATAAATGAACTGGGTTTGAAGTCGCAATGTGGAAATCACTTACAAAATTTTGGCGAGTCAGATTCCAAGATGGTGGACGTGTGGCCTATGTTTACGGAGGCAGTCCAGTAAACTGGCCACATTATGGGGCTAGTAACTTTTGTAAGATGGGTTTAAGACGAAAAGGATGATTGCAGCCATTTTTTCATGTCGAAGTGGTTAAAAAGATAAAATGGAAGTTTTTTCTGACGTGGTTTGTGCCGGCCGCTGAGACTGGAAGGTACTCCTTGAACTATGAGGCTCCACACAGCCTCATAGTTCTAGGAGTAACTGGAAGGTGGAAGATCGTCTGTACAAAGTGCAGGTGTGTAGTTTTGTGGGGGATGCCGAACTTACGAGCAGGGGTCAGAAAGTGACCCTAATTTCGGCACATGATAAACAACTCACAAAATCAATATTGCAAATTTTGTTGGGGACATAGGCCTACATGTAAGGCCAAACAAAAAAAATGGTGTGTTTACGGTAACGGTCTGAAAAAATCCAGGTAGGTAGGTAGGGTAGGGAAATAATTTTATTTGTAATGTTTTTTTTATTTCACCATGTTCACTCAGACAGTTCTGCAGGCTCATGCGTGTTCTTTTGCAAAATATTTGTATAAAAACATTATCCAAGCATTCAAGATACTCAATCGATACATTTCATTCCAAAGTAATTCGTACCATCCCAGGGTTCTCCCCAGGATTTTTTCAAACCTGTGGGGGAAGTGTTGCTGTGATTCAACAACCTGCGAAGCCATGGCGTGGGGTTCGGGGCCCGCTTTTTAAGGGCCCCGAAAATATTTGAGAGAAGATCTTGTACTTTTGTAGGCCCCTATTTTTGTAATTAAAGAAAAAAAAATAAAAATTACATTATGATTTACAAGTAAGTTTCAAACTGAGAAATTAATGTGAAGAAAAAAATGCGTTTGCTTTCTTTTACATGCCTTTCAAAAAAGCGTCAATTGTTGTATATAGGTCGGAAAAATTATTTCGCCAATTTTTTGGGGGTGCTGATTAATGGAGCATCACAGAGCAAGGAATCATGTTTATTTTGTGCCTGGATTATTTTCATTTCCGCCACGAAAATTATCAGTGGCCATCAAAAGTGATCAAAACTTGCCTCACCTAATAAAAAAATATTTTTGAGGTGGGTGATTCCACAATATACTACATACATCACGGCCGCTGGCTCCGCCGACATTCAGTCTGGCCGGCCGTACATCGCGCCGTGCTCACGGCGCAGTATCAGTGTGCATTACTGCACTGTGTACTGTACGGCCCATCGTTATGGCCCGAAAATCTTGCACTACTGCAGAAACACGCTACAATGTTACGCCACAAGTTCGAGCTTTGCAATCTCGTCATTTTAATGAAAAACACATACACAGAAAATAAAGATCACGTTCTGTGAATTAATTCGTAGAAATTCTTTTTCTCCACTGAAGTTTGTTTGGTATTTTTACGATCCAACTTCAGCCGACGGTACTGGTACGACGTTTGTATAGCAGTAGTCACTGGTTCCAGTCCTTCAGTATAGTATTGATTCCGTTAGCATGCGAAGGGAACCAGTGCACCTTGCTGTATGCGCTGCATGCCTGTCAGCTGGCGGTTCTAACCCGTCATCGTGTGCATTTTGATCACACATGCATCACAAAAACAGGGTTTTTTCAAGATTTTGCATGTCGAGATGAAATAATGGCATATGTAACGATTATATTGTGCATTTTAATGGCGTGAATAATGATTATAATGTGCGTATTGGGGGCTGAAAAATGTGATCGGCATTTTTGTCGGGCCGATTCGCAGTACGCACGTTTGTACGTGGGGAGAACCATGCCGTCCGTCAGCCAGGCGCACCAGTTCACCCTGATGCGTTTGTGCAAAAATAATAGTACTTCATGTAATTTGAGAATTCAAGTTTTGAGATCGTTGCGATTTCGCACGTTCAACACAGGTATGTTTGTGTCAAATCATGGTCAGTTTCAAGTGTTGAAAATAGTCTATGTTCATGGCAAATAATTAAAAGTACTTGAAATTTGTGAAATTTGTTCATTACAAATGATCAATATCAACCTTCAAAATGGCAAAAATAGGGCCAATGATTTTCCGTTTCAGAAAAGTGCAAATTCCGTTTGCAGAAATCCTAAATTCCGTTTTAGACTGAAAAATTCCGTTTCACATTTATTCATTTATTCAATACAAAAATTGGCATTTTATATACATTAGGCCTATACCATGTGCACAGAAAATAATTCCAAGACCATAATGAAATAGTCGTTTGGTTGGAGCGCGGGCAAATTGCCCCCAAAAAGATTGCTATTTTATCAACGGCCGATCAATGTACAGACGTAGTATTTAACTTCGCCACAGTCAAGTCGTATACTGCACTGCCACTGCCACACACGTGAGAAACATGCGATAGCTGTACAAGCCAATCCAATGACGTCACACACATCAGCTGGCCGAAGCGAAATTCATGTCCGCCATTTTGTTTTCGGGCTAATGTTAGCTACAAAAATAGGATACTTTACGGTAGATTATTGGACCTAAGCACGACATGCATTTCAATAGAGCCAAAGTTAGATGTTATACGAATGGTTGATTGATTGCACAGAGAAAAATAAACCTGCCGATGGAGCAAAAGAGACCCGCGAGAGCATGCCGTGAGTGTGATGATTTTCACCCGTGCGCTGGCCGACAGCTACGGCGTGCGTTGGGACTGTCACTCCCATGACCACGCGTACTACGGTAATGAACTCGTAACATTTATTGCTCTGATCTTGAACGTTTTTGTCCCACCAACATCGTGATATAAACATCACTCATTTTTTATATGGCTCCTCTGTTCAATCAATCATCAACAACTCGTTACATTTTATGAAATTGTGTTTTTTATGCCCCGCGGCGAAGCCGAAGGGGCATACTGTTTCCGCCTTGTCCTTCCGTGTGTGGGTGGGTGTGTGGGTGGGTGTGTGTGTGTGTCCGGATAAATCTTGTCAGCGCGATAACTGGAGAAATACTTAACATACGAACTTCAAATTTGGTTTGTGGATTGTTCTTGGTAATCCTAAGAAGCCTTTTGCATTTGGGGCCAAAAGGCCAAAGGTCAAGTTCACAGTGGCTAAAACAATAGAAATCTTGTCAGCGCGATAACTTGAGAAATACTTAACATATGAACTTCAAATTTGGTTTGTGGATTGTTCTTGGTAATCCTAAGAAGCCTTTTGCATTTGGGGCCAAAAGGCCAAAGGTCAAGTTCACAGTGGCTAAAACAATAGAAATCTTGTCAGCGCGATAACTTGAGAAATACTTAACATATGAACTTCCAATTTGGTTTGTGGATTGTTCTTGGTAATCCTAAGAAGCCTTTTGCATTTGGGGCCAAAAGGCCAAAGGTCAAGTTCACAGTGGCTAAAACAATAGAAATCTTGTCAGCGCGATAACTTGAGAAATACTTAACATATGAACTTCCAATTTGGTTTGTGGATTGTTCTTGGTAATCCTAAGAAGCCTTTTGCATTTGGGGCCAAAAGGCCAAAGGTCAAGTTCACAGTGGCTAAAACAATAGAAATCTTGTCAGCGCGATAACTTGAGAAATACTTAACATATGAACTTCAAATTTGGTTTGTGGATTGTTCTTGGTAATCCTAAGAAGCCTTTTGCATTTGGGGCCAAAAGGCCAAAGGTCAAGTTCACAGTGGCTAAAACAATAGAAATCTTGTCAGCGCGATAAGTTGAGAAATACTTAACATATGAACTTCCAATTTGGTTTGTGGATTGTTCTTGGTAATCCTAAGAAGCCTTTTGCATTTGGGGCCAAAAGGCCAAAGGTCAAGTTCACAGTGGCTGAAACAATAGAAATCTTGTCAGCGCGATAACTTGAGAAATACTTTACATGTGAACTTCAAATTTGGTTTGTGGATTGTTTTTGGCAATCCTAAGAAGCCTTTTGCATTTGGGGCCAAAAGGCCAAAGGTCAAGTTCACAGTGGCTAAAACAATAGAAATCTTGTCAGCGCGATAACTTGAGAAATACTTTACATGTGAACTTCAAATTTGGTTTGTGGATTGTTCTTGGCAATCCTAAGAAGCCTATTGCATTTGGGGCCAAAAGGTCAAGGGTCAAGTTCACAGTGGCTAAAACAATAGAAATCTTGTATTTATTCTGAGATTATTGGGATTAGGGATTAATTCATATAAAATCTACAGAAGACACTAATGCTGTCAATGAATGTTCCATGTGACCAAGGTACATGTAAGTTGATGTTAAAAGAGTGGTGTTATGTCATGGGAACAGTCACGGTTGCGGGGCATTTGTGTTTGTAAACACACCTGACTTGTTTATCAATGAAATTGCAGAAGTTATTTTGTTCAGATTCAAATTCCGTTTTCCGTTTCAGGAGCAGATTCCGCGAATTCTGTCCGTTTTCCGCGATCGTGGAAAGTCATTGGCCCTACAAAAAGTTTGAGGTCGGCAATTTGGCCAAAAAAAATTCCAGGTCGGTCGGGTTACCGTAAACACACCATTTTTTTTTTTTTGACCTAACTAATATAGGGCAAAAATACAACTTTTACGGGCATAAAAATATAAACCTACGAAACTAAACGTGTGCGTAACGCAACTTTTTCCCCACGCGCTGAAACATTGTGCTGCCCATTGCAAAAGCATGTGACTGCACGCAGTGCCGAACTTAGGCACAGGGTGCCGAATTTCCGGACAACATGAACGTCTTTCAAAGTGACGTGACATTACCAAAGCAGGTTCGGGATCGATTAAGTTTTGGTATCGCAACATGCGCTATGCCCACATGCTGTGTGTCGACGGGAGTACCGGGTAAATCGATACTGCATACCGTAGGTCAAAAAATAATAATCGACTCTTATGGTGCCGAAATTCGGGACGTCTACCCTATCCAAGCTTCACAGAGTTTTTATTTCTTTTGTACTTTGTCATTTCAGACTGATTCCCGAGGCGACAAATCTGAGGAGCTTCCTGTTTGCATGTCTACTGGTCATTTTTACATGTGCATGTCACAGGCTGTCAATAAGGACTAAAGGTAATTATCCATGGGAATGTCGGCATGATGACAGAGATCACTATTAACCCTAACTAACCCCCCTTGCGTATTTTTACTGGAAAGTATCCTGAATCCGCCAAAATCCATCAATTTTGCCATGCAATAAAAAGTTGGTTGGCAGTGAGTCCATCAGAATGCACCAGTTAGCCGGGAGTAAATCTGTTGAGATCCTGAGTCCATCAAAGTCCCCCAACTGCTGAATATGGAGGTATCCTGAATCCATCAAAATCCTGCAGTACCGATAGGCTTACTGTCCTGAGTCCATCAAAATCCCCCAACTTTTTCAATATGGAGGTATCCTGAATTCGCCAAAATCCTCCAAATCAGGGGTGTGGATTTTGATGGATGCAGGTACGTTAGGGTTAATCAGTGAATCATATAACCAGTTTGTGTCAGACGACTTGTTTACACGATCAGGCTGTTTTTATACACACACGTCTCATGGGTAAAAATGTCGAGCGTGCCTCGACTTGCCTCTGGATGACGTCTAAACACACTAATTCGCCATTCGTTTGTACACAGAGACAAAGTCTGAGAATGACAGTAGTCATTCAATAAGACAACCCCCAAAATGGACAGAGCACATGCACACAGACAATAGGGGGTACTGATATTGATACGCTCACGATGCATATGCGATGTATGCATTAGGACACCCTTTGCGACACTGATGCATGCAGCAATCATGGGCCGTGCCAAACCACTTTTCACTTGACACTTTTTGTCAACCGCAGAACAGGAAGTCGATGCCAATGCATGAGTTTTGAATGCTGGCTTACACAAAGGATGTAATGCTTTTTATGGAAAGGGGACTGTGATTAACACGCCGACTTGAGCGAAATGGCGACTTACAAAAGCCGAATTAGAAATAAAAAAAATCAATGGAAATGCATTACAGACAATCGGGACTTAAGTCAGACGGCAGACTTGAGTGATTTGACAAGTTGTACGATGTCGGTTTAGCCGGAGTTTTCTGTATATCAGAAGTTGGCTGCTATATTTTGCCTTTCAATCTTTCGGAAGTTTCCCTACAACTGAGGGCGCTGTTGCTGTGATGTTATTCAAGGCACACTTCATAAATAAACTCAATAATTAAATTCAAGCATCCTGTTTATTTCTTGCTCAATTTTTTTTCCCAGACTGACATCTGAGAAATCTCCAGTGTGCAGATCCACAAGTGATGCATGTGCATGTAATTCAGCTGTCGGGGGAAAAACAGAAGGTAATTATTCATATTTAATCTGCATTATGTTCTTAACCTCAGCTGCTTTGAAAAGGACCAGACATTGTATACTTTAAATATAAATGCAGGTGCTACTTGATTCTTTTGGCTCTTGCACCAATATGCAAAGTGTTGCAAGGTAATTGTTTTATTTGGGGGTGGGGTGGGGGGGGGGAAGGGGTAAACATTTTGTGAACAGGGCACTCGCACATCCTTGCTGAAGTGGGCACTTGGCCTCCATAAAATCAAAGGGTGTGGGGGGGGGGGGCTGGTTCCATCTTCCATTGGCGGGCTGTTCAAGCTAGACAATCATGCACACTATCCGACAATATATGGCGCTCTTCCGGGCATGCAGTTGTGCAAAATTCCAAAAAGGGCACTTGTACAAGGCCGCTGGTACAAAAAGAGCACCTGTTATACCATCTTCTCCTCATTCCTCCTCCCACTTTTACCATACTCCCGACCCACGCCTCTGATATTTCATTTTATTTTTATTTTGCTGGAATAAAAAACAGACAAATTGAAAAGTTTTCCATGAGAATGTTGGCGGGATGACTGAGAACACTTTTAATCAGTGGAAAACCAGTGTGTGTCAGATGACGTGATAACACGATCTGGTTGTTTTTATATTTACACACGTCTGAGGGGGTTAAAATGTCAAGCGTGCCTCAACTCGCCTCCGGATGACGTCTAATCTTCCATTCGTTTGTTCACAAACACAAAGTCTGAGAATTTGGTGGAGGGGTACCGTATGTTGACATTGAACAAAGCCGCTGTGTACGGCCTAATGTTCTACAATTTATGCTCCGTGGACACACCCCGGAGTGTTGAACAAAAATGAGGTTGCGGTAAGAAATATTGTACAAATACTGTTGAAATGACTCTTGCAAATCAGTATATCTGGGGTTTGGCTGTATATCAGAAGTTGGCTGCTATATTTTGCCTTTCAATCTTTCGGAAGTTTCCCTTCCATTGAGGGGGCTGATGCTGTGATGTCATTCAAGGCACATTTAATAAATAAACTCTATAAATAAACTCAAGCATCCCCTTTATTTCTTGCTCAATTTTTTTCCCAGACTGACATCTGAGAAATCTCCAGTGTGCAGATCCACAAGTGATACCTGTGCATGTAATTCAGCTGTCAGGAAAAACAGAAGGTAATTATTCATATTTTATTTGCACAATGTTCTTAACTTCAGCTGCTTTGAAAAGGACCGTAATCATTGTAGGCCTATTCTTAAAATATAAGTGCAGACTACTTGATTCTTTTAGCTCTTGCGCCAATATGCAAAGCGTTTCAAGGCAATGTTTTATTTAGGGGTGGGGGTGGAGGGGTAAACATTTTGTGAACAGGGCACTCGCACATCCTTGCTGAAGTGGGCACTTGGGAAAGATTTCCATATATGAAGTTCACTCAACACTCTGTGTACAAACCCTATGAGAGTGGACTGAAAAAGTGTTTTCTAAGAAAATGCTTGTATTTTCTCACTGCTGAAATTGACTTTGATGACATGAAATTGCTATCTTGGGGCTTGTTAGTCAATACAGAGGAAAATTAGTGAACTTCATATATGGTAATCTTGCCGGCACTTGGCCTCCACAAAATCAAAAGGTGGGGGGGGGGGGGGGGTCCTGGTTCCATCTTCCATTGGTGGCGCTATTCAAGCTAGATGATCATGCACACTATCAGACAATATATACATCGCTTTACAGGGCAGCACAATTGCATACAGTTGCGCAAAATTCCAAAATGGGCACTTGTACAAATGTACAAGGCCGCTGGTACAAAAAGGGCACTTGTTTTTCCATCTTCTCCTCACCCCTCCTCCCCCCCCCCCCCCCCCCCCACCATACCCCCGACCCCCGCATCTTCTATTTTTATTTCATTTATCATTTCGCAGGTATGAAAAAACAGACATACAACTATAAACAGTAATGTACAATTATGGATATTAGAATGACCAATATACAAGAAAATTGCACCCCTGCAGGATCACTAAAAAAAAACATGTTCTTTGCTTTGCCATGCATTGCATGTGTGCAACTGTTTCTGGAAATTGATGATTGTATTTCTTTTTCACACACATTTGTCTGAAAAAAACTAGACTAAATTTGCGGTAGGTTCAAAGTGTGTGGGCCGGTTTTATATTAAAGGGAAGATACAACATTTGCAATCATCAAAAAACGAAATGATCAAGTTGTCATGAAATATCTTACTGGATTGTTTGGGAATGACAGTCTAAAGCATAATGTAAAGTTGTGGCTCCTGGTGTGCTGACATTTTCTAGAAAAACTGTAATTTTCCAATGTTGGTCGGCCAACCAGCGCTGGAGAAAACTGGCTTTTTTCAAAAAGTGCTCCTTCCTTTTTTATATTTAGTTCATCTGCATTTTCTGTGCAATTGATTACACACCTGTGAAGACTACAACCCTGCTAGACTGATTCTCTGATCTTTCAATTCCCCAAAGTCTATAAATTGCCCCGTTTCATCTTAAGTGGGGTCGGGGAATCAGACTACAAGAATATGATTGGTTTTCTTGGTTTTTCCAGCATCTACGAACCCAAAACATGAAACAAGTCAGTGTAACAATATTGGCTATAAAATACTATTCCTTCAAATCCATTTATTTCTGAAAATTGCAGCAAAAGCAAATGTTGTACATTCCCTTTAAATTATATGCTTTAAAATTGTACATGTTAATGTGTTTTCCTTTCAGAAACTGAATCATCTGGGCTTCAAGCTGAAGGTCTTTTGTGGTGCTGTTCTGCTTTTTATGTGTTAATCACAATGTAAGTATGGTGCATGTAACTGAATTTAACCCACCTGGGGAAAGTTCATATTCAGATCAATATGTAAAAACCCACTAAAACCTTGCAGTTCAGTTTCAGGTGAAGTGTTATACAACACCTGAATAAATCCCAGTCATCTGATTGGTGGATCGTTGATCACATGTCATTTAATTATTCGTACCAGCGCGCGTGGCACGCAGCGCACAGTGCAATAGAAGTTCCATTGCACGGTGTCACTGCTGCCGGTGGTGTCGCTGTTTTAAATCAAGATAAATTGAATCTGATTGTTCTTAACCTGTCAAACAGTTTGCATTAATATAAATATGATGAACTAAGTCAAACTTTTAAACAGTTTTTAACCTGAATAAACTGGCTATTAAAAGTCAACCAATCAGATGACAGGGATTTATTCAGGTGTTATATAAAACAAATAATGAATGTTTCAAGTTCGTGCAATGGAAAAAATAATTTCATTCGGTGACATAAACCTGAATTGCACTCACCTCATGAAATTACTCTTACCATTGCACTCACAAACATTCATTATTTGTATATTAAAGGGCTCATTGGAATGATATGGAATTTGTTGAAATGCATTCCTTGAAATGTCCCTTGAAATACCGGTAAGAAAAAAGCTATACTTTGTACAAATGTTAAACATTTGTACACATATTAAACATGTTTAACCCTAACCTCCCCAACTCCACCGAAATCCTTCCCCCTATTTTGGTGGATTTTAGGGGACTTGGTCCTGCAGGCCTGGTTTGACTAAATATTGATGGAGTATGATGGACTTGGTCCTGGAGGCCTAAAGCAGAGCGTGCATTGAAAGCAGTGTGATTGGTGGATTTTGGTGGACTCGGTCCATTCTTTAGTAAAAGGCAGTAGGGAGTTAGGGTTGAAATGTGTTGCCTTAGATTCATATCAAGCAGGTTTAAAAATCAGCATTAAGAAAACCAGCCACAATTTATATGTATGTCTTCTTTTCGTAGTGGTTGTTCGAGTGAAGGTTGACTCGCCAAGATTTCTCAGCATTCTCTTGAAGGTGTGAATGCTGTGGATGTTTGTGTCAACTCCATCAGGATCGTACGTGCAGCTGCCAGGTAAATCCCGCACACTTCCTGAGTGCATGCGTTTGTTTATGGTGTAAATCGAGGACACACATGTGCAACATCATCAGGACGACGACCTCAATTAGAAAACGTGTGCAAAACCAATGAGAGCTGTTGCGAAAAGTTAAACTACAAACAAAGGAAAAGGGAAGAGGAACAAAAGAAAATCCCAGATTTACACCATAAACAAACATGTGCGTGTACATGTAGGTGTCATCCTTAATGGTGTACTGTACTGTGATTTATAAAATCAATATGATATAGGTTATAACAAGTTTGAAAACACCATCTTTGTTCAAAAACACACCTTCCTGTACAGGGTGTTTAAAATAAAAAAGGAAACCCAACTTCAAAGAATGAGTATGGACAGATGATATGTTTACTGGCTATAAAACTGATATTATTTGAAAGCGTAATCTCTATGCTTTTCAATGATACCGTGTTTAGGTTTTCTGAGTCATGCATCACTGAGCATCATTGTCCTGAAAATAGGATGCAAAAATGTAGCTGGTTCACTTTCATAAAAAAAAAACCCACTGGGAACGGTGTGCCTATTACGAAAATGTCTGTGAAATGGCTTGAATGTTAATCCTCGGGAAAATGGCACATTGTTTTAAACGTGGCTTGGTCAAATCGAGAAATTTATGACAAACAATAAAATCCAGTTCTGAAACCAACCCTATTTGTGTTTTGGTTTCTTTTTATGCATTGGTGTCTTCTTCTTGAGTACTTATTATCATGCACACAATGCCTATTGTGTTTGACATGAAAGTGAACCAACTGCAATTTTGCATCAAAATCTCTCGACAATGGCGCTCAGTGATGCATGACCCTGGAAATGTAAACAAGGTATCATTGAAAAGCATGGAGATTACGTTTTCAGACGATACCAGTTTTATAGCCAGTTAACATTTAGTCTGTCCATATTGGTTCTTCAAAGTTGGGTTTCCTTTTTAATGAAACACCCTGTGGTTGCCCAAATTTCCATTCATAGAAAATTCAGCTGAAAACCATCCTCTTTCTTACTGTATAAGCAGTAAGCATTTGTGATATTTTGCTGAAAGAGCTGCAAACAGTAGTTAGCCTTTGATTCAGTAGTATATTTGTCCACAATGGTTTCAGTAAATTTGAAGCACATGGACTGTTTAATGTGCAAGACCCCGTTTGAAAATGAGGAAAATGGCAATGACAGGTACAGCTTGAAAGTTTGTGGCTTATCTCCTGTGCAGTTTGAGGGGCAGGATGGGTTTCTTTGTCACTCGTGCACATCAAGCATGTACAACAAACTACAAGTACATGTAGGAGAAGTGCACGTTCAAAGGAGAGACCATATAGCTGCCCCTCAACAGACAAAACATATAGACAGCTAAAATATCGGTGGTCAAACGAGGGTCTGATGTGCGAATCCCCATTTGTAAGAAAAGGAAAGGGATTTAATAAATTGGTTACTCACGTTACGAAAATGTAATGCGAGTAACCAATTTTTGTGCTTCTTGTTTATCATACATAACACGTTTTTCTGGATGTCATCTTTGGTGCTTTGGTAGGTCTAGGTCTACTCTATCTAAAATGGAGACGCACAAAATTGGTTACTCACGTTACGAAAATGTAACATGAGTAACTGATTTTGTGCGTCTTGTTTATCATACATAGCACATTTTTCTGGATGTCATCTTTGGTGCTTAGGTTGGTGTACCGGTAGGTCTACTCTAACTATCATGGAGTAAACAGTTATTAAACCTTTTCAGTAATAAAAGCCCAAGCAAGGAAACTCACAAGTACATCAAAAATGTAACATGAGTAACTGTGGAATTGCCCATATGCACATGTGTACATTTAGACAGAAATAAGTTGTTTTGTGCTACACTAAACCAGAAAAGAAAGTCACCCCTAAATACTTTTTGTCTAACTCAAAAACTGCTGGGCACATCTTGCTCAAATTATGACTTATCAGTACAGACATTCCTTAGCAATCCAGCTATACTCTTTGTTCGGCCCAAAACAGTGATAATTGGTACAAAATTATGCATTTAAGACGAAACTACCGAAAAATAGTTGCACTTTTGTGTACATGAAAGGTGAGTGTGAACCACAACTTGCACGTATACAAAAGTGCAACTGTTTTCAGTATCATTTGTCATAAACTGCATAATTTCGTACACATTATCACCGTTTTGGGCCTAATAAAGTGTATGGCTGAATTGCTAAGCATTTTTGTACTGTTTGGTTGTTATTTGAGCGAGAGGTGCTCAGTTGGTTTTGAGTTAGACAAACAAGTATTGGAAAGGGGGGAGGACTTTCTTTTTGATTGAGTGTATATGGCCTACCGGTCCTTTTCCCACTATGCTTGCAAGCATTAAATATGTTCCCCCTCCCTCTGCCCCTTCGACTGAAGGCCTCAATCATGCAATCCGTAGAACTGTAAAGATTCAATTTTGCTTTGTCTTAAATTCATATCAGGTACTTTTAAAAACAATTAAGAGAAACACCCACATGTTATGGCTTCTTTTGCAGTGGTGGTTCAAGCATTCATGTACCTCAACGAGTCAAGATTTTGCAGCATTCTCTTAAGGTTTGAATCGCTCCATCAGAATTGTAGCACACAGCTGCATTGTAGCAAGTTAATATTGTAATTTGAACTTACTACAGGTATGCTCGTATTGAAAGTTTGAAATACCGACTTTAGCCCAAAAGAAGCCTTCCTGTAGACACCATCTCCTCAGTTCTGTTTCGTAAAGATAGCAAATAGTACAGAAAAAAAGGTTATGTTTTTCTAAATCAGATGTAAAGTTACACAGCCCTGCTGAATAATTTTGAGTCAACTGTATTTGTTTATTTATCCACTGGCATCAGTAAACATGAATAATACGGATTGTTTGATGTGCAAAACCCCATTTGTAAATGAAGAAAAGGACAATGGCAGGTACAGCTTGCAAGACTGTGGCTTATCCCCGGCGCAGTTTGAGGGGCAGGATGGGTTTCTTTGCCACTCATGCAAATCAAAGCAAATGCAACAAACGAGAAGAGCTTTAAGTAAGAGATCAAGCAGCTGTCTCTTGGAACATCCTGAGTGTTTAATGTGCCAAACCCCATTTATAAAAGGCCCTAAAGGGTACAGCAGGGTCAGCTTAAAGGCTTTGGGGATTTCCCCTGAGCTGTTTGGAGGGCAGGATGGATTCATTTGTTACAAGTGTCATCCACGTGCCTTGCAACCAAGAGCGGCACAAGCCAAACGTAAGAAGGACCCAAAATACATGTATCCGCCCTCGCCTGTAAGGAGATCACAGCAACATAAATGTGAGAGAGGGGGGAGGTCATTCTCTCCAAACTGGCAAAACACACGTGGGCATACCTATCGTAAGAAATTGAAAGAAAAGGTGTTATCAGCTATAGACAACAGCAAATATGAGGGCATTTTTAGAGAGCTGTTTCAAAGTAAAACTGCCTCAAAGGGTTCTCATCGACCTTTAAAAAAGGTAGTCCGAAAAGAAATCAAGGCTAATCGCAACCCCCTCTTTGCTCTCCCTGTTACTGCTGACCATGTTGCCAACTTCAATTGGGACAAAGTTGTTGATGAAGCTTCTTCCCGCATGCCGATTCTTGTCAATGTCCTGAAAGCTGCCCTCCCAGATCCATCCAAGCAGGTGAAAGGAAGGGCGTTCTGTGGTCGTCTGAGGAGATCAACACAGGAGGAGTATTGTATTCGTAACCAGCGCCTGGGCTTCATATTGGCAGTTATTTTGTATTCACAAAGGCCAAGCAAATGTCATTTCATTCAAGGCTGTATATCTCTGCAACTATGGAAACATGGATGCAGCCAAAAAGTTGTGGAGTGTTTGAATGCTCTTGGTGTATGTAAGGGAAAAGGTGCAACTGCCAGACAGCAGTCCAATCTGACGATAAACCCAGCACAAAAACAGAAACAGTGGCAGCAGGCACTAAGTAAACAACTCGAGTCAAGTGCCACAGCTGTGGGGGATAGCGAGACACGTGAGGCATCCTTATCTAATGAAGTGGAGGCAGGTGTTCTGAATGAAACACATTCACCTTGCACAGGTGACGTGGATGATGATGCTTCTGATATGAGTGTTTCTGCTGACGACAAATCTGATAGTGATGCTGAACCCTCTCAAGTTGTAGAATCTGTTTCAGCTGCAGCAAACGTAGATTTGCCAAGTACATCAAGCAGTAAACATGATTCTTTCATGGAGCACACATCCCAGGAAAAAAAAGATCAGGCCCCTAAACTAAAGCACATGCCCCCATGGCACATCTCACTCAAACTTGAAGAACCTGAACGTGGGTATATCTTAGTGTGTGACAATGTTTTGATGCAGTCACCTAAACTTACCAACGAGTTAAAGTTGCAGGCCTCGATATTTGCTGTCAGGAATAGAGTTGGATTTGACCAACAGATGGATTACACTATGAAACATGCTGAAGATATTCCCCTTTCATGCTTTCTTCCAACTTTCTCTGATTGGAGAAATTTGAAGCAGAGGATGTGCCGAATTTTGGAGCACATTTTGAAAGATCATTTGCCATTTTTGAAGGGAGTTGAAAGCTCTGCTCCACAGCGGCACCAGCACAGTGATGCTTTGAGTAAAAAAAGTGAAATTGTCAGTTTAGGCGTGGTAGATGAAAACCCCTTCAGCACACCAGGCTCCGTCTGTATACTTGAGTCACTTCATCAGTTTGTTCCATCGTACGGTGATGAGAACTTGTACCCAATTGTATGCTTTGGGGACGGGCTCTCTGTGGAGAAGATGGTTGATGCCAAATGTGCAAAAGCTAGTGGGGCTTCCGCATCAGATAGGTTGGAGGGACTAGTGCAGTGCCCGCAAGACTTTCATCGAAGAGGTCTTTTGCTCCAAGACACAATGGATAGATTCTTCAAAGAGACAAGTGTAAAAGACCGGGGGACGCTCTTTCAGTTGAAACAGGAGTTTGGTCATCAATCTGTCAAAAGGAATGTCATGGCAAACTTCAATCATGTGGAAGATCTTATTGAGTTCTGTACACGTGCATTCAGCATAATGCTAGCACTCAAGCTTGCCCAACTACCAGATATCTCCACAAGGCCTGAAAACTGTCCATCTTCAGGAAGCACCACTTCTGAAAGGATATGGCTCACTAAATTCATCTGGGAAATGATAGATTTCATTTGGCCTGAAATTCCGAGTAAAGACATACACAAAGCATGTGAGCAACAAGAAACGGGTGCTGCACTTGATTTTGATGGCCGTTATGGTGATGTGGAAAATGCCACCAATGATGATGCCTGTAAGTGTGGTGAATCAACGGGAGAAGGAATGATCAGATGCTTCAACAATGAATGTGGTTGGTTTCATTACTCTTGTGCAAATGTTGATGGTCCCGTTAAAGGGGATTGGTGGTGCTCAGCAGAGTGCCGGGCCTCCAAGTCCTACAGGTATTGTAAATGCCATAGAAAGACAGGAAAGGAACGCAAAATGATCCAGTGTGAGTTGCAAAGTCATTGTACTTCCAATGAGTGGTACCATCCTGATTGCATAGGAGGGGCTAAAGATTTACCAGATGAGTGGTATTGTTCTCCTGAATGTACACAACGAGCCTTAGACAGATGTGCAAGTGATGGGGTCCTGGAATATTCCAGAGCCTTGTTATATGAGGGTCTTTGCCATCTAGCCTTCCGTGATGCAGTACGTGAGGGTGATGGACCAGCCATCCTCAGCCACTGGAGGATCAACACCCTACAGTTTTGGAATAACAGGCATCTCAAATATGTTGATTTGGCACACAACATGTTGGCAGGAGTCAGTGGATTTTACCCTGCCAGAGTTGCACATGACATGACCTGGAACAGAGTGGCAAATGTAAAAGGTCAGGCAGATTGCAATATTGGTCTGGACCTGGTGAAAGAAATCCCATCTGCAGTCTACTGTGAGATGTTGTCTGAAGTGCAAGGTGTGTATCCAAAGGATCCAAGAGACCAGCGTAGGAAACTGAGTGATACGTTGTGTGGTCATCTGGATGACTTCTTTTTGAAATCCAAATCAGGAATCCAAGATGAGGCATCTGAGCAGAAGGGTCAGAAATTCCATCAGGACATACAATGCTTTGCAGCTTCATACATGGATGATGGCCTCTTTGATTTCGTTCCAGGCAGACATCACAAGTCCTTTCCTTTTTTCAAGCACTCGTTGAGTGTGAAATCCCCAGAAACAATGGGTGCAAAGCTCATACAACTCAGTCAATGCATGGACATGAGTAGAAACTCTGTACAGTCATGAATATGGGGGCATTATAACCAGGACGTGTGGTACCAATGAGAAAATTAGTCGAAGATATAGACACATAAATTTACCATATGGGTTTCCTTTTACTAATTGTGTACCTACATGTACATCTCAGATTTGACTGAAAGTAGGAAAGAAACTGGTGTGACGGGTATTTGACTAGTCCATGGGTCACACATGTGGATTGTATTCCTACCTATGAATAAAGTTTTTATCCCAGTTGGTAACATACACATAACTTTCACATTGCAATTCTGATCAGTGATTACCGATCCCAGCATTGGTCAGTGTAGGCCTATAAGTTTAATGGAAGACATAATTATGTGTAAACCCTCTTATTTGCTACCTTGATATCAGAGAATGTTCACCATTATTTGGGGGATCGTACCGATATGTGTTGGTGTGAATTCAACTACCGGTATTTGCATGTCATGTGATTGCAAGAAGCACTCAGAAGGCAAACTTGCCAATTAAATTATAATGACAATAATAAGTTGGTTTTGAAAGGATGCCAGGAGTAAAATAGCCAAATGTGGAGCAGCACAGTTGTTAACTTTAATATTTTGCATACATGTCATAAACACAAATAAGTAGGTTTCTGAATGCAGACCATGTACAGGGAACAATATGGGAAGATCTCAATTTTTGGTGTCTTCTCTTCACAGTGGTCCTTTACAGTGACGGTGACAAATCAAGAGTGTGCAGATGAATCTACAAGTTGAGCTGTGGCTGGTCGCACCATCTCCATCAGTTTCAGATAATGTAGCTGTCAGTTAAATGTACAGCCAGAATAGTACCTCAATATGTGGACGAACTGGTATTCGAGACTCTTCAGTTGCAATATGAGTCAGACAGAAGTCCCCACTCTACGTATAGAATCCGAAGGGTAAACTTTCCAACAGATGCATTCAACCAATACCTTCCTTTTGTTCATTGTGCTTGAAACAAGTGATTTGTGGTTTATTTTTATTTTTTAAACAATGTGTTCTATATGTAATTCTGCGGCAGTACTAGTGTGAAATAATACACTGTTACTTCACATATTTGTAGTCAACTGTTTTATAGATTACTCCACAATGGCCTCCTCAGGAAATACAAACACTCCTGAGTGTTTGATGTGCAAGTCCCCAGTTGAAAACATGGATAACAGCTGGAGGAGGTACAGCTTCAAGCTCTCAGGCCCTTCCCTTGAACAGTTTGAAGGGCAGGATGGATTCCTTTGTTCTTCATGTAAATCAAAGCATCTGCAACAAACTGCCAGTCAAACACAAACTGGTCAAGTGAAAAAGAGACCTAGCTTCTCTTTTTACTCAAAACAAAAAGCTCGTAAAAAGCCTAAGTATAGTGTGCCACATGTGTCTTCATCACATTCGAAAGTGAAAACCCGTCAGAATAGGACCTCTTACAATTGTAAATTGGTAGAGTATGTTTCAAAGGCAATCCAGGAAAGTCGATACGCTCGAGCTATCAGGGCCATTCTTCATCATAGCAAACAATCAAAGAAAGCATTCTGTACGGTTGCCAGCACAGCTGTCCGACAAGAAATCAGCAGCTGTGCCCTTAAAACACTACAATGGTCTGTTACCGCTGGAAATATCGCAACGTTCAAATGGGACAAACTTGTTGAGGAGGCTGCTTCACACATGCCAATTCTTGTAAATGTTCTGAAAGGAGCTCTTCATCGTCACCAGGTGAGGCTCTCAACACGACGAAACAAGTGCATGCCTGGCCAGCGCCTGGGCTTTATCTTGTCGTTGATTTTGTATTCAAATCGGCCGATCAAATACAGTTTCATTCAAAGTTGTATGTCTGTGAAGCTGAAGAGACATGGATGTATAACTAGTATTTTTGACTGCTTGCATGCTCTTGGTGTATGCCAAACTCGAACATACACACCCTTGTCAATAGATATAGCAGGGACAGACAACACTAAAAGGCAAAAACAGTGGCAGCTCAATCTAAGTCAGCAGCTTGAGTCAAGTGCCACAGTTGCGGCAGATAGTGAGACCCAAAGAATATCACCTTGTGGTGAAGACCAAGCAGCTGTTCTGAATGAAACACATTCACTTGTAGCTGACATGGATGATGATGCTTCTTCTGAAATGAGTGTTACTGCTGACGACAACTCTGATAATGATGCCGCAACCTCTTCTGTTGCAAAATCTGCTTCAGCTGCAGCAAACGTAGATGATTTGCCAAGTACATCAAGCAAACATGATTCAAGCAGTAAGGACACATCACAGGAAAGAAAAGATCAGGCACCTGAAGTAAAGCAAATGCTTCCCGCAATGCATAATCCACACAGATTTGAATACCTCGACCCAGGGTATATCATAGTGTGCGACAGTGTGTTGATGCAGCTAGCTAAACGTAGACCTTTCAAAGAGTACCAGTTACAGGCTTCAACCTTTGCTGCAAGGAATAGAGTTGGATTTGACCAATCGTCGGATTACACAATGAAACGCGCCGAAGAAATTCCGCTTTCCTGTTTTCTTCCAACTTCCGATGACTGGGAAGGATTGAAGCAGAGAATGTGCTTAATTTTGGAGCGCATTTTGAAAGATCATTTGCCGTTTTTGAAAGGAGTGGAATGTTCTGTTCCTGAGCAAAACCAGCACAGTGATGCCTTGAGTGAGAGAAGTGAAATTGCGAGCTTAGGCGTGATAGATGAAAACCCCTACAGCACATCAGGCTCAGTCCGTATGCTTGAGTCACTTCATCAGTTTGTTCCATCGTATGGTGATGAGACTTTGTACCCAATTGTATGCTTTGGGGACTTGCTCTCCGTGGTGAAAATGTTTGATGCTAAATGTGCAAAAGCTAGTGGGGCTTCTGCAGCAGAAAGGTTGGAGGGACTAGTGCAGTGCCCGCAAGACTTTCATCGAAGAGGAGTTTTACTCCAAGACACAATAGATAGATTCTGTAAAGAGGAAAGTGCTAAAGAGACTGGTACACTTTGCCAGATTAAAGAAGACTTTATTCATCGTTCTGTCAAGCAGAAGGTCGCTGAAAATTTCAGTGATGCCGAAAATCTTCTGAATTTCTGTACACATGCGCTCAGCACTATGCTAGCACTCAATCTTGCAAAGTTAAAAGGAACCACCAAAACTCCTGCAGATTTTCCAACTTCAGGAAGAGCCTCCCAGAAAAAGAAATGGCTCACTGAATTCACAGAACAAATGGTAGATTTCTTATGGCCAAGACTTCCATGTGATGGCAGCCTAGACAAAGTGTGTAAGCAAAACGAGACACAGGTTTGTCTTGACAAGAAAGACTTTGGCGATATTCTTGATGATATGGTAAAAGGCACCAATGGCTGCAAATGTGGCGAGTCCAGTGGAGAAGGATTGGTCCGATGTTTAAACAGGAAATGTGGTTGGTTCCACTACTCTTGTGCAAAAGTTGATGGTCCCGTGGAAGGTGATTGGTGGTGTTCAGCAGAGTGCCAGGCTTCCAAGTCCTTCGTGTATTGTAAATGCCATAAAAAGACAGGGAAGGAAGATAATATGATCCAGTGTGAGTTGCAAAGTCATTGTTCTTCCAATGAGTGGTACCATCCTGAGTGCATAGGAGGGACTAAAGATTTACCAGATAAGTGGTATTGTTCTCTTGCATGTAAACGACTTGGCTTAAAAAAATCCAAAAGTGATGGGGTCCAGGAATATTCCAGAGCCTTGTTATATGAAGGTCTTTGCCATCTAGCCTTCCGTGATGCAGTACGTGAGGGTGATGGACCAGCCATCCTCAGCCACTGGAGGATCAACACCCTGCAGTTTTGGAATAGCAAACACCTCAAATATTTCATCTTGGCTCATAACATGCTAGCAGGTGTCAGTGGGTTCTATCCAGCCCGAGTTGCACATGACATGACCTGGAACAGAGTGGCAAATTTAACGGGTCAGGCAGATGGCAATATTGGTCTGGATCTTGTTAAGGAAATCCCAACTCATGAGTATTGGGAAATGGTGTCCAGAACACAAGATGGGTATCCAGAGAAAGAGGGGGAACAGCAGGGCAAACTGAGTGATGAATTTGTACGTGATTTGGATGGCATCTTCTTGAAATCTCAGACATCTGGAGCAGCACAATCTGCTCAGGAGAAACTCAAATTTGATCATGATGTCAAGTATTTCGCTTCTGCATATATGCATGATGACCTCTTTGATTTTGTCCCAGGTAGACATCACAAGTCCTTCCCATTTTTCAAGAACACTGTAAATGTGAACTGCCCTGAATTAATGGGGAAAAAGCTCTTGCGACTCAGTCAGTGCATGGACAGTTGGAGGGGTGTTGGGAAGTCTTGAATGCAATTGTAAAATCAATTCAGTCACCATTGTTGGAGGGAACCGAACTGGTACATGTAGAGAGGGTCTCATGTAGAGACTTGTGCGTGTGCCATTTATTATCTTATGTCAATTGTTCGGCTGTTTGAGATGCAGATTCCTCATGACTGAGAGTAGACCACATGTCTGTATCTTGTTGATCGACATTTGTTAGGGCAAATCATTTGTGTGAAATAAATCCTAATGAACTATTGTTCAGCCATGTTGGTTTTGTGCTTCAATATCTAATATTTGTTCCTATATTACACATAATACACATAATGCGCCACGTCGCATTGTTACGTCGCATTCATGCTGGTGGCCCAGAATCTCTGACCTGCAGAAATCAAGATATAATGAGGGATGTTACAAAGCAATGTGGTCAGTATTCTGGATGCATGTACATCAGCAAATGCCACAGGTAATGTAGTCCTGCACGAAGGTAGCCAGACACTTGAAACAATTCTGTGATCTGCAAAAGAAAAATGTGTAGTTCATACCACTTGTCAATACTATATTTGGAAATGAAATTTTTATTTTTTTTTCTTTTTTTTATGCTTGGTCTCTGTCTCGGTGTCGGTCTCTGAATTCTCAGTCTCACTCTTGGCCTCAGTCTCGGCTTTCAAAAATCTCGGTCTTGGAAGTCCGGTCTTGGTCTCAGTTTTGAATGTCTCGGTCTTGGTCTTGGACATGGAGATCTCGACTACAAAACTGACACATGTACATGTGTGTACCTGTCTTTAAAACATTGCAAGCCATGTACAGGGAACAGTATGGTAAGATCTCAATTTTTGGTGTCTTCTTTTCACAGTGGTTCTTTCCAGTGAAAGTTGACAAGTCAAGAGTGTGCAGGAGAACCTACAAGTTGAGCTGTGACTGGTCGCACCATCAGTGTCAAAGGATGTAGCTGTCAGTTAAAGCCAGAATACTACCTGAATATTCAAAGCAAACTGCATTTGAACTGTACCGCAGACCATTCAATTGCAAAACGAGTCAAACAGAAGTCCCCACTCTACCTATAGGTTACGAAGGATAAACTTTACGCCAGCTACCGGTACTTTCACCCAATATTTTCCCTTTGTTTATGGCACTTGAAACAAGTGATTTGTGGGGGTTTTTTTTGTTTTGTTTTTTTAACAACGTATACTACATGTACTTCCGCGAAAGTACTAGTGTGAAATAATACACTCTTGCTTCACATATTTGTAGTCAAGGTTTTATCAATTACTCCACAATGGCCTCCTCAGGAAATACAAACACTCCTAAGTGTTTGATGTGCAAGTCCCCAGTTGAAAACATGGATAACAGCTGGAGGAGGTACAGCTTGAGGCTCTCAGGCCCTTCCCTTGAACAGTTTGAAGGGCAGGATGGATTCCTTTGTTCTTCATGTAAATCAAAGCATCTGCAACAAACTGCCAGTCAAACACAAATTGGTCAAGCAAAAAAGAGACCTAGCTTCTCTTTCTACTCAAGACAAAAAGCTCGTAAAAAGCCTAAGTATAGTGTGCCACATGTGTCGTCATCACATTCTAAAGTGAACACCCTTCAGAATAGATTCTCTAACAATTATCAATTGGCACAGTATGTTGCAAAGGCAATCAATCAAAGTAAATACTTTCTAGCTATCAGGGCCATTCTTAAACATAGCAAAAGTTCGAGGGAAGCATTCTGTAGGGTTGCCAGCCATGCTGTCCGACTAGAAACCAGCAGTTGTGCAAAAAAACCGCGTGCACTTAAAATACTCCAATGGTCTCTGAACGCTGGAAATATTGCAACCTTCAAATGGGACAAAGTTGTTGAGGAGGCTACTTCGCACATGCCGATTCTTGTAAGTGTTCTTCAAGGTGCTCTTTATCGTCACCAGGCAAAGATACCAACCTTTTGCATGCTTGACCAGCGCCTGGGCTTTATTTTGTCGTTGATTTTGTATTCACATCAGCAGAAATACAATTTCATTCAAAGCTGTGTGTCTTTGAAGCTGAAGAGACACGGATGTACCAATAATCTTCTTGAAAGTTTGCATGCTCTTGGTGTATGCTTAAATCGAAAAGCAACACCCTTGCCAAAAGATATGGTAGGGACAGACTACACCAAAAGACAAAAACAGTGGCAGCTCACTCTGAGTCAGCAGCTCAAGTCAAGTTCAACAGTTGTCGCAGATAGTGAGACCCAAGGAACATCCCCTTCTAATGAAGAGCAAGCAGCTCTTTTGAATGAAACACATTCACCTGTAGATGACCTGGATGATGATAATGCGGCTTCGGATATGAGTGTATCTGCTGACGACAACTCTGATAATGATTCTGTGTCCGTTCCTGTTGCAGCATCTGCTTTAGCTGCAGCAAACGTAGATGATTTGGCAAGTACATCGAGCAAACATGATTCAAGCATTAAGGACACATCACAGGAAAGAAAAGATCAGGCACCTAAAGTAAACCTCATGCCTCTCACACTGCATATTTCACAAAGAATTGAAAACCTTGACCCAGGGTATATCATAGTGTGCGACAGTGTGTTGGTGGAGCTAGCTAGTCCTCGCAGTGGATACAAATTACAGTCTTCAACCTTTGCTGCAAGGAATAGAGTTGCATTTGACCAATCGTTGGATTACACAGTGAAACGTGCAGAAGAAATTCCACTTTCATGTTTTCTTCCAACTTCTGATGACTGGGAAGGATTGAAGCAGAGAATGTGCTTAATTTTGGAGCGCATTTTGAAAGATCATTTGCCATTTTTGAAAGGAGTGGAATGTTCTGTTCCAGAGCAACACCAGCACAGTGATGCCTTGAGTGAAAGAAGTGAAATTGCAAGCTTAGGTGTGATAGATAGAAACCCCTACAGCACACCAGGCTCAGTCCGTATAGGTGAGTCACTTCATCAGTTTGTTCCATCGTACGGTGATGAGTCTTTGTACCCAATTGTATGCTTTGGGGATGGACTCTCTGTGATGAAAATGTTTGATGCTAAATGTGCAAAAGCTAATGGGGTTTCAGCAGCAGATAGGTTGGAGGGACTAGTGCAGTGCCCGCAAGACTTTCATCGAAGAGGAGTTTTACTCGAAGCCACGATGGATAGATTGTTCAAAGAGGAAAGTGCTAAAGAGACGGGTACACTTTTCCAGATTAAAGAAGTCTTTAGTCCTCATTCTGCAAAGAAGTTAGCTGAAAACTTCAGTGATGTCGAAAATCTTCTGAATTTCTGTACACATGCGCTCGTCACCATGCTAGCACTCAAGCTTGGCAAGTTAGATGGAACCACCAAAGCTCCTGCAGATTTTCCAAGTTCAGGAAGAGCCTTCCAGAAAAAGAAATGGCTCACTGAATTCACCGATGAAATGGTAGATTTCTTATGGCCAACACTTCCAAGTGATTGCAGCCTACACAAAGTATGTAAGCAAAAGAAGACACAGGTTTGTCTTGACAAGAAAGATTTTGGTGATATCCTTGATGATATGGTAAAAGACACCAATGGCTGCAAATGTGGTGAGTCTAGTGGTGAAGGCATGATCCGATGTTTCAACGGAAAATGTGGTGCATGGTTTCACTACTCTTGTGCCAATGTTGATGGTCCCGTGGAAGGTGATTGGTGGTGTTCAGCAGAGTGCCAGGCTTCCAAGTCCTACATATATTGTACATGCCATAGAAGGACAGGGAAGGAAGACAATATGATCCAGTGTGAGTTGCAAAGTCATTGTACTTCCGATGAGTGGTACCATCCTGAGTGCATAGGAGGGACTAAAGATGTACCAGATAAGTGGTATTGTTCTCTTGCATGTAAACGACTTGGCTTAAACAAATCCAAAAGTGACGGGGTCCAGGAATATTCCAAAGCCTTGTTATATGAGGGTCTTTGCCATCTAGCCTTCCGTGATGCAGTACGTGAGGGTGATGGACCAGCCATCCTCAGCCACTGGAGGATCAACACCCTGCAGTTTTGGAATAACAAACATCTCAAATATTTCATCTTGGCTCATAACATGCTAGCAGGTGTCAGTGGGTTCTATCCAGCCCGAGTTGCACATGACATGACCTGGAACAGAGTGGCAAATTTAACTGGTCAGGCAGATGGCAATATTGGTCTGGATCTGGTAAAGGAAATCCCAACCCGTGAGTATTGGGAAATGGTGTCCAGAACACAAGATGTGCATTCAGACAAAGAGGGGGAACAGCAGGGCAAACTGAGTGATGAATTTGTACGTGATTTGGAAGGCATCTTCTTGCAATCTCGGACACCTGAATCAACACAAGCTGCTCAGGAGCAACTCAAATTTGATCACGATGTCAAGTATTTCGCTTCTGCGTACATGCACGATGGCCTCTTTGATATTGTTCCGGGTAGACATCACAAGTCCTTCCCTTTTTTCAAGCACACTGTAAACGTGGATTGCCCTGAATTAATGGGGAAAAAACTCTTGCGACTCAGTCAGTGTATGGACAGTTGGAGGAGTGTTGTGAATTCTTGAACGTGCAATTGTCAAATCAATTCAGTCACCATTGTTAGAGGAAACTGAACAGATAAATGTTGGTCTTTCGCAGAGACTTGAGTGTGAGCCATTTATTATTTTATGTCAGTTGTTTGGTCGTTTGAATGAAAGTACGTGTACCAGTACATCTCTGATTTGACTGAAAGTAGGAAAAACATGTTGTGACAGGTATTTGACTAGTCCATCGGTCACACTTGTTGATTGTATTCCATCATATGAATAAAGTTTCTATCCCAGATGGTAATGTACATACATGTATAACTTTAAGTTTGCTAATTTGATCAATGATTACCAATCCCAACATTGGTCAGTGTATAAGTTTGATAGAAGACATACATTTGTGTAAACCCTCTTCAAGGACAGATACCAGCGATACCGGTATTGGCTTCCTTGATAAAATATGTATACCATTATTTTAAGGATTGTGTGTGTTGCTGTGAACTCAACTATTTGCATGTCATGTCTCTGCAAGAAGCAGTTACATAGCGAACTCACCAAGTAAATGACAATAATGAGTTGGTTTTGAAAGGATGCCAGGAGGAAAACAGCAAATATGAGCAGCAGTTGTGATATTCTTAAATATTTTGCATGATACATGTCTTAAAACACAATGCAAGCCATGTACAGGGAACAATATGGAAAGATCTCAATTTTTGGTGTCTTCTCTTCACAGTTGTTCTTTCCACTGATGGTGACAAGTCGAGAGTGTGCAGGAGAATCTACAAGTTGAGCTGTGACTGGTCGCACCAGCTCCATCAGTCTCAAATGATGTAGCTGTCAGTTACAGCCAGAATACTACCTGATTATTTAAGGGAACTGCCTTTTAAGTGTACCGCAGACCATTCAGTTGCAAAATGAGTCAGAAAGAAATAGCCACTGTACCTATAGGTTCCGAAGGATAAACTTTACAACAGCTACTTCCACCCAATACTAACTGTTTGTTCATGCTACTTGAAATAATTGAGAAGTAGTTTATTTATATCTAAAACAATTGATTAACCTATTATATATAGTTCTGCGGAAGTTTAAGTGTAGCGTGAAACAATACACTCTTGCTTCACATATTTGTAGTCAGTACAGTTTTATCAATTGCGCCACAATGACCTCCTCGGGAAATAAAAACACTCCTGAGTGTTTGATGTGCAAGTCCCCAGTTGAAAACACGGACAACAGCTGGAGGAGGTACAGCTTGAGGCTCTCGGGCCCTTCTCTTGAACAATTTGAAGGGCAGGATGGATTCCTTTGTTCTTCATGTAAATCAAAGCATCTGCAACAGACTGCCAGTCAAACACAAATTGGTCAAGCGAAGAAGAGACCTAGCTTCTCGTTTCACTCAACACAAAAAGCTCGTAAAAAGCTTAAGCACAGTGTACCACTTGTGTCGTCTTCACATTCCAAAGAGAAGACCAGTCGGAAAAGATTCTCTAACAATCGTAAACTGGCACAGTATGTTGCAAAGACAGTCAGTGAGAGTAGATACGTTCAAGCTATCAAGGCCATTCTTTGTCATAGCAAATATTCGAGAGAAGCATTCTGTACAGTTGCCAGCAAAGCTGTCCAACTAGAAATGAGCAGATGTGCACTTAAAATACTCCATCGGTCTCTGAACGCTAAAAATATTGCAACCTTCAAATGGGGCAAAGTTGTTGAGGAGGCTACTTCGCACATGCCGATTCTTGTAAATGTTCTTCAAGGTGCTCTTTATCGTCACCAGGCAAGGAAAGCAACCATTTGCATGCCTGACCAGCGCCTGGGCTTTATTTTGTCGTTGATTTTGTATTCACATAAGCAGAAATACAATTTCATTCAAAGCTGTGTGTCTTTGAAGCTGAAGAGACATGGATGTTCAAATAGTCTTTTTGACAGTTTGCATGCTCTTGGTGTATGCTTAAATCGAACACTCAAACTCTCGCCAAAAGATATGGTAAGGACAGACTACACTGAAAAACAAAAACAGTGGCAGCTCACTCTGAGTCAACAGCTCAAGTCAATTGCCACATCTGTGGCAGACGGTGAGACCCAAGGAACATCCCCTTGTAGTGAAGAGCAAGCAGCTCCTTTGAATGAAACACATTTGCCTGTAAATGACCTGGATGATGATAAAGGGTCTTCTGATATGAGTGTGTCTGTTGACGACAACTCTGATAGTGATCCTCTGTCCTCTGCTGTTGCAGAATCTGCTTTAGCAGTAGCAAATGTAGATGATTTGGCAAGCACTTCGAGCAAACCTAAGGTAAAGCACATGCATCCTGCATTGCTTAATTCACTAAGATTAAAATACCTGGACCCTGGGTATATCATAGTGTGCGACAGTGTGTTGGTGGAGCTAGCTAGTCCTCGCAGTGGATACAAATTACAGGCTTCAACCTTTGCTGTAAGGAACAGAGTTGGATATGACCACTCGTTGGATTACACAGTAAAACGTGCAGAAGAAATTCCTCTTTCATGTTTTCTTCCAAGTTCTGATGACTGGGAAGGTTTGAAGCAGAGAATGTGCCAAATTTTGGAGCGCATTTTGAAAGATCATTTGCCGTTTTTGAAAGAAGTGGAATGTTCTGTTTCTGAGACACACCAGCACAGTGATGCCTTGAGTGAAAGAAGTCAAATCGCCAGCTTAGGCGTGATAGATAAAAACCCCTACAGCACATCAGGCTCAGTCCGTATAGTTGAGTCACTTCATCAGTTTGTTCCATCGTATGGTGATGAGACTTTGTACCCAATTGTGTGCTTTGGGGACGGGCTCTCTGTGGTGAAAATGATCGATGCCAAATGTGCAAAAGCTAGTGGGGTTTCTGCAGCAGATAGGTTGGAGGGACTAGTGCAGTGCCCGCAAGACTTTCATCGAAGACAAGTTTTACTCCAAGACACAATGGATAGATTCTTTGAAGAGGACAGTACTAAAGAGACGGGTACACTTTTCCAGATCAAAGAAGACTTTAGTCATCGTTTTGTCAAGCAAAAGGTCGCTGAAAACTTCAATGATGTCGAAAATCTTCTGAATTTCTGTACACATGCGCTCGGCACTATGCTAGCACTCAAGCTTGGCAAGTTAGATGGAACCACCAAAACTCCTGCAGATTTTCCAACTTCAGGAGGAGCCTCCCAGAAAAGGACATGGCTCACTGAATTCACCGAAGAAATGGTAGATTTCTTATGGCCAACACTTCCAAGTGATTGCAGCCTAAAAAACGTATGTAAGCAAAACAAGACACAGGTTTGTCTTGACAAGAAAGACTTTGGTGATATTCTTGATGATATGGTAAAAGACACCAATGGCTGCAAATGTGGTGAGTCCAGTGGAGAAGGAATGATCCGATGTTTCAACGGAAAATGTGGTGCATGGTTTCACTACTCTTGTGCAAATGTTGATGGTCCTGTGGAAGGTGATTGGTGGTGTTCAGCAGAGTGCCAGGCTTCCAAGTCCTACATATATTGTACATGCCATGGAAAGACAGGGAAGGAAGGCAATATGGTCCAGTGTGAGATGCAAAGTCATTGTACTTCCAATGAGTGGTACCATGCAGAGTGCATAAGAGGGGCTAAAGATTTACCAGATGAGTGGTATTGTTCTCCTGCATGTAAACGACTTGGCCGAAACCAATCCAAAAGTGACGGGGTCCAGGAATATTCCAAAGCCTTGTTATATGAGGGTCTTTGCCATCTAGCCTTCCGTGATGCAGTACGTGAGGGTGATGGACCAGCCATCCTCAGCCACTGGAGGATCAACACCCTACAGTTTTGGAACAGCAAACATCTCAAATATTTCATCTTGGCTCATAACATGCTGGCAGGAGTCAACGGATTCTATCCAGCTCGAGTTGCACATGACATGACCTGGAACAGAGTGGCAAATTTAACGGGTCAGGCAGATGGCAATATTGGTCTGGACCTGGTTAAGGAAATCCCAACTGATGAGTATTGGGAAATGGTGTCCAGAACACAAGATGGGCATCCAGAGAAAGGGGAACAGCAGGACAAACTGAGGGATGAATTTTTCCGTAATTTGGAAGGCATCTTCTTGCAATCTCATACATATGAAGCAACACAAGCTGCTCAGGAGCAACTCAAATTTGATCACGATGTCAAGTATTTCACTTCTGCATACATGCACGACGGCCTCTTTGATTTTGTTCCGGGTAGACATCACAAGTCCTTCCCATTTTTCAAACACACTGTTGACGTCAATTGCCCTGAATTAATGGGGAAAAAGCTCTTGCTACTCAGTCAGTGTATGGACAGTTGGAGGGGTGTTACGAAGTCTTGAACATGCAATTGTCAAATCAATTCAGTCACCATTGTTAATGGAAACTTATCAGATACATGTTGAGGGTCTTTTGCAGAGACTTGTGTGTGAGCCATTTATTACTTTATGTCAGTTGTTTGGCCGTTTGAGATGTGGATTCTTTGTGAGTGAGAGTAGACCACATGTCTATGTATCTCGTTGATTGACATGAGTGATACATGTATCTGGTCAATCAACATTTGTTAGTGCAAATCATAATAGTGTGAAATAAATCCTAATAAACAGTGGTTCTGCCATGTTGGTTCTGCCATGTTGGTTCTGTGCTTCAAAATCTAATCGTTGTTCCTACATGACACTTTAAGTTTGCTAATCTGATCAATGATTACCAATCCCAACATTGGTCAGTGTATAAGTTTGATACAAGACATTCATTTGTGTAAACCCTCTTCATGGACAGATACCAGCGATACCGGTATTTGCTACCTTGATATACAAAATGTAAGAAAACGTATACCATTATTTTGAGGATTGTGTGTGTTGCTGTGAATTCAACTATTTCCATGTCATGTATCTACAAGAAGCAGAAACATGGTAAACTCACCAAGTACAATATAGTGACAAATAATGAGTTGGTTTTGAAAGGATGCCACAAGGAAAACAGAAAATAAGAGCAGCAGTTGTGATATTCTTAAATATTTTGCATGATACATGTCTTAAAACACAATGCAAGCCATGTACATGGAACAATATGGAAAGATTTCAATTTTTGGTGTCTTCTCTTCACAGTGGTTCTTCCCAGTGAAAATTGACAAGGCAAGAGTGTGCAGGAGAATCTACAAGTTGAGCTGTGACTGGTCGCACCAGCTCCATCAGTCTTAGATGATGTAGCTGTCAGTTACAGCCAGAATACTACCTGATTATTTAAGGGAACTGCCTTTTAAGTGTACTGCAGACCATTCAGTTGCAAAATGAGTCGGAAAGAAATAGCCACTGTACCTATAGGTTCCGCAGGATAAACTTTACAACAGCTACTTCCACCCAATACTAACCGTTTGTTCATGCTACTTGAAATAAGTGAGAAGTAGTTTATTTATATCTAAAACAATTGATTTACCTATTATATGTAGTTCTGCGGAAGTACCAGTGTAGAGTGAAACAATACACTATTGCTTCACATTTTTGTAGTCAGTACAGTTTTATCAATTGCGCCACAATGACCTCCTCAGGAAATACAAACACTCCCGAGTGTTTGATGTGCAAGTCCCCAGTTGAAAACATGGATAACAGCTGGAGGAGGTACAGCTTGAGGCTCTCAGGCCCTTCCCTTGAACAGTTTGAAGGACAGGATGGATTCCTTTGTTCTTCATGTAAATCAAAGCATCTGCAACAAACTGCCAGTCAAACACAAATTGGTCAAGCGAAGAAGAGACCTAGCTTCTCGTTTTACTCGACACAAAAAGGTCGTAAAAAGCCTAAGTATAGTGTACCACATTCTAAAGTGAATACCCAATCCAAGGGAGTCTTAAGTAAATGTAAATTGATACAGTATCTCTCAAAGGCAATCAAGACAAATCAATACGCTCAGGCTATCAGGGCCATTCTTAATCATAGAAAAAGTTCGAAGAAAGCATTCTGTACGGTTGCCAGCACAGCTGTCCGACAAGAAATCCGCAGGTGTGCACTTAAAATACTCCAATGGTCTCTGAACGCTAAAAATATTGCAACCTTCAAATGGGGCAGAGTTGTTGAGGAGGCTACTTCGCACATGCCAATTCTTGTAAATGTTCTTCAAGGTGCTCTTTATCGTCACCAGGCAAGGAAAGCAACCATTTGCATGCCTGACCAGCGCCTGGGCTTTATTTTGTCGTTGATTTTGTATTCACATAAGCAGAAATACAATTTCATTCAAAGCTGTGTGTCTTTGAAGCTGAAGAGACATGGATGTTCAAATAGTCTTTTTGACAGTTTGCATGCTCTTGGTGTATGCTTAAATCGAAGACTCAAACCCTCGCCAAAAGATATGGTAAGGACAGACTACACTGAAAAACAAAAACAGTGGCAGCTCACTCTGAGTCAACAGCTCAAGTCAATTGCCACATCTGTGGCAGACGGTGAGACCCAAGGAACATCCCCTTGTAGTGAAGAGCAAGCAGCTCCTTTGAATGAAACACATTTGCCTGTAGATGACCTGGATGATGATAAAGGGTCTTCTGATATGAGTGTGTCTGCTGACGACAACTCTGATAGTGATCCTCTGTCCTCTCCTGTTGCAGAATCTGCTTTAGCTGTAGCAAACTTAGATGATTTGGCAAGCACTTCGAGCAGTAAACATTATTCAAGCATTGAGAAAACATCACAGCAAAGAAAAGATCAGGCACCTAAGGTAAAGCACATGCATCCTGCATTGCATAATTCACTAAGATTGAAATACCTGGAACCTGGGTATATCATAGTGTGCGACAGTGTGTTGGTGGAGCTAGCTAGTCCTCGCAGTGGATACAAATTACAGGCTTCAACCTTTGCTGTAAGGAACAGAGTTGGATATGACCAATCGTTGGATTACACAGTAAAACGTGCAGAAGAAATTCCTCTTTCATGTTTTCTTCCAACTTCTGATGATTGGGAAGGTTTGAAGCAGAGAATGTGCCAAATTTTGGAGCGCATTTTGAAAGATCATTTGCCGTTTTTGAAAGAAGTGGAATGTTCTGTTCCTGAGCAACACCAGCACAGTGATGCCTTGAGTGAAAGAAGTCAAATCGCCAGCTTAGGCGTGATAGATAAAAACCCCTACAGCACATCAGGCTCAGTCCGTATAGTTGAGTCACTTCATCAGTTTGTTCCATCGTATGGTGATGACACTTTGTACCCAATTGTGTGCTTTGGGGACGGGCTCTCTGTGATGAAAATGGTTGATGCTAAATGTGCAAAAGCTAACGGGGTTTCAGCAGCAGATAGGTTGGAGGGACTAGTGCAGTGCCCGCAAGACTTTCACCGAAGAGGAGTTTTACTCCAAGACACAATGGATAGATTCTTCAAAGAGGACAGTACTAAAGAGACAGGTACACTTTTCCAGATTAAAGAAGACTTTTTTCATCGTTCTGTCAAGCAGAAGGTCGCTGAAAACTTCAATGATGTCGAAAATCTTCTGAATTTCTGTACACATGCGCTCAGCACCATGCTAGCACTCAAGCTTGGCAAGTTAGATGGAACCACCAAAACTCCTGCAGATTTTCCAACTTCAAGAGGAGCCTCCCAGAAAAGGACATGGCTCACTGAATTCACCGAAGAAATGGTAGATTTCTTATGGCCAACACTTCCAAGTGATTGCAGCCTAGAAAACGTATGTAAGCAAAACAAGACACAGGTTTGTCTTGACAAGAAAGACTTTGGTGATATTCTTGATGACATGGTAAAAGACACCAATGGCTGCAAATGTGGTGAGTCCAGTGGAGAAGGAATGATCCGATGTTTCAACGGAAAATGTGGTGCATGGTTTCACTACTCTTGTGCAAATGTTGATGGTCCCGTGGAAGGTGATTGGTGGTGTTCAGCAGAGTGCCAGGCTTCCAAGTCCTACATATATTGTAAATGCCATAAAAAGACAGGGAAGGAAGGCAATATGGTCCAGTGTGAGATGCAAAGTCATTGTACTTCCAATGAGTGGTACCATGCAGAGTGCATAAGAGGGGCTAAAGATTTACCAGATGAGTGGTATTGTTCTCCTGCATGTAAACGACTTGGCCGAAACCAATCCAAAAGTGACGGGGTCCAGGAATATTCCAAAGCCTTGTTATATGAGGGTCTTTGCCATCTAGCCTTCCGTGATGCAGTACGTGAGGGTGATGGACCAGCCATCCTCAGCCACTGGAGGATCAACACCCTACAGTTTTGGAACAGCAAACATCTCAAATATTTCATCTTGGCTCATAACATGCTGGCAGGAGTCAACGGGTTCTATCCAGCCCGAGTTGCACATGACATGACCTGGAACAGAGTGGCAAATTTAACGGGTCAGGCAGATGGCAATATTGGTCTGGACCTGGTTAAGGAAATCCCAACTGATGAGTATTGGGAAATGGTGTCCAGAACACAAGATAGGCATCCAGAGAAAGGGGAACAGCAGGACAAACTGAGGGATGAATTTTTACGTAATTTGGAAGGCATCTTCTTGCAATCTCATACATATGAAGCAAAACAAGCTGCTCAGGAGCAACTCAAATTTGATCACGATGTCAAGTATTTCACTTCTGCATACATGCACGACGGCCTCTTTGATTTTGTTCCGGGTAGACATCACAAGTCCTTTCCATTATTCAAGAACACTGTAAATGTGAACTGCCCTGAATTAATGGGGGAAAAGCTCTTGCAACTCAGTCAGTGTATGGACAGTTGCAGAGATGTTGCGAAGTCTTGAACATGCAGTTGTCAAATCAATGCAGTCACCATTGTAAATAGGGGAAACTGAACTTCTACACGTAGAGGGTCTCATGTAGAGACTTGTGCGTGTGCCATTTATTATTTTATGTCAATTGTTTGGCCATTTGAGATGCAGATTCCTCATGACTGAGAGTAGACCACATGTCTACAATCTCGTTTAGTGACATTTGTTAGTGCAAACCATTTGTGCAAACTAAATTCCAATCAACAGTGGTTCATCCTTGGTAGTTCTGTGCTTCAAAATCTAATCGTTGTTCGTACGTTACACAGAATGCATCAGTGTAAGGATATTGTTTCACCCTTGGACCCTTATGTGCCTGGCATTGATGGATTGGTGGTCTATGCATGAACATGTATGTATCGACCGTGAATGTTGTCGCTTGGATTCGTAGGACTTAATTTTCTTTTGTGCCATAACAGTATCTAGGATTATGCCTTTTAGTGCGTTTCCCAATACTGCTTGGCATCTTCCGGTACTACTTCTATTCTGAAAACACTTCAAGTACATTCGTTTTGACTTAGAGACTTGTGACGCATGTGTCACTTTGACAAGGTACAAAGTTGATCTACAATGTATTGCTTTGGATGTGTTGTCATTTGGCTGTCTTGGGACAGATTTCGACGTCATGTATCAGATGAACATTTTCATACCTCAGTTCCGGTGTATGATGTACGTGTAGTCCGTGCCTGCAGAAATCTAGATCGATATTGTGTAACACATTTCTTTGCATATTTGTTTTTTTTGGGGGGGGTGATAAGATTTGAAGTTGTGTTCTTTTTAATGTGCATTTTTGTTAAGTCCTAGCAGCTACATGTCTGACCTACAGAAATCAAAATATCTCATCAGGACTCCAATGGGTGATGTTACAAAGCAACAAGTTGTCACTATTCTGGATGTATGTAACCAGCAAAATGCCATTGGCAATGTAGTCCTACACAAGTGTCGCCATACTTCAAAAATTCATGTGATCTGGAGAAAAAAATGTTTGTATCGGCCTTACAAAGGGAGTCAGGTTGGCACAGTGTACTACAACTGCAACCTGTTTAAAACTATCCCATTCAAGTTGATTTATTTTTCCTTCAAGCCAGATCTGCTTTGCCCAGCCAAGCTCTGTGGGAACTCATTCAAGACTTTCCTTCCAGCTTTGACACTGAACTAGTCTTGGTTGTTAAACTTTCTTTCCAGAATCTGTTGTAGAACCTGTGGTTTCTTGTCTTGGCCAGAACGATCAGTAAAAACGTGGTTTTTTCTTAAATTAAACCACATGTTTTTCATGCGCTGGTGTTCTGAGCTACATATAAGCCAATCATTTTCAATTCTCCAGCTTGACATTTAGGCAGAGTCTCTACTACCGCTAGGTTAACTTCCCCAGTTACTTCCTGTTGTGGCACACCTTAGTCAAGGTTTGCGACAGTACTCTGTTCAGTAATTCACTCTGCTGTCTCCTTTGTCTTTATCCAAACTGATTCTGTCATGCTTTCCCACCTTGGAATGATTTTTCTGTCATGATGATGCTCTGAGTTATGATCGATCATGTGCTCTGATACTGTCAAACCTTGGCATAATATGTCATCTTTATTGTTCATCACATACCTGCAACACCTGATGCATTCACATACCTGCAATACCTGATGCATTCCTAAAACCATGATGATACATCATCATCATTATCATACTTCTCTCAATTTACTCAAGACAACCCAACCGCAGAAACACACACACTCACTGAAATATTTCAGATGATGGTGCCACCACTTCATGTTACAAAAGTAGTTTTGATACAGTTTCATTAGCTCCCCTATGAAATACATTGCCTACAAGTCATACAAATGTATACAGATCCAATAAGTACCAAAAAATCATAAACAGAATAACAAAACAACAAGTGCATTATTCATGAATATTGAAACCATTTGAGCAAACTTATACCAGAATTGTTCAGCCAATCTAAACTCCTCAGCTCGCCCACATTTTTATGAATCATCTTGAAGGAAAAATTGAGACCGAGTGTTTGCCAACTTTTAAACCCAATAATTTTTTTTTTGGACAAGATGAACCAATGTTATTTTCAGGCTTCCTTTTTGGAAATGAGATTTAACAAAAGAATCCATCCAGGGCAAGTGGTTTTCTAGTTAATTACCTAATATTTGGTAACATTGTCCAGTTGGTATTTATCCATCAGGTTGTTTTTTTTTAATGGGGGGAGCAGCATTTTAATATGTGCGAATGTCTTATAGACCGATATACTTTATATGTGTGGCTTAGAAAGTATTGACTGAAAATAGCCGTGAATCTTTCCCTAGAAATTTAGAATGAAAGATGTTCATGCACAGTCGAGTCTTGTTATAACAAACTCGTTCGGACCTAGCCAAATTGTTTGTTATATCAGAATTGTGTATTAAGAGGAACCCATTCATTGTGCACATAAATGCACAGTCGGGACCAAGGCTTAATGTTTGTTATAACCAGAATTTTTTTTATGAACAGAGTTTGTACTAACAAGAGTCGACTGTACATGTACATATTTGGGATTGAAAGGGAGTATGAAGCCAGCTTGAGCTGTTTGCTTGTTTTCTAAGTTTTTGGGGGGCGTCTTTGTGGGGGGTTTGGATATAAATATTGCAGCCTGAATATAAATTGAACTAAAGCAAGTATGCGGTTGAAACAAGATTCCATGTACAAAGCATGTTAGTTAATGTACATGTACAGTTTTGCGTAACAGAAGAATGTTAAGAGCGAATGTATAAAGTTCAACAAAAATGCATGTTTAGCCGGTACATGTGTATGTAAATAGTACACCTGCGTACAGAAATTAATACATGTATTGTATGCAGCAACAGTGATTTGCCAGCACAATTGTTTTTCTTAATTTATTTTTTAGTTTGTACAAACGAGAAGTTTGAATGTTGACTTAATGTTTATGATCGGTATATGTAATGCTAATTCTTGTGTTGAAAGTGTAAATACTACTTGGCACAGTTATATCATGTGCCAGGACATTTTTTCTTTTCAGTTTGCACAAAAGAAAAAAGCTTGAATTCCAACTTTGTTATGTATAAGTGATGCTAACATTGCATCCAAAAATGTAAATACTAAGTGTATATCATGGCAAAAGTTACACCATGTGCCTGTTTTTATATAACATCTACCTGTATTGTTTTGTATACCATGGGTTTTCCACCCAGATGAGTGTCACACATGAGTTGTAACACAGTAGGAATGACAATGGTCTACGTGCACTTACACATTCCAAAGAACTAAACTCCTGGAAATTTCTGGGGAAAATGTGGAGAATTTGCAGTTTTTCATGTGGAGACTTTTGCCATTGACACAAAGTTTGTAATTTCTCTCTTGTTTTGTTTTCAATGGCTTTTAATTAAAAACAATTAAGTCAGATTGTAATATTAGAATTTGTGTACCTGAAAGAAAGCTAAAGATGTTGAAATTGAAGAGCATGTTGCATGCATGCAGAGATTGTTTTCTCAAAGTACAACAAAGGGTAAACAATTTAGTTGATGGTGTTACATGTAACTTTGCATAAAAAGAGAAACATTTGAAATTCAACAAAATTTGAATGTTATGTTTTGCGATGCTAATGATTCCATTAGTAGTTTGTAAATATTATTCAGTTTAACTATTTGTCATTTTGCTGCATCTACATGTATTATATTAGAGGCACCAAAATGAGTGTCCATGAGATCAAAGCAGTTCTGGGTTTTGCTTTGTTTCTGGTTTTTGGGTTTTTGGTTGTTTTTTTGTTTGTTTTGTTTTTTGTAGTAGTAGCAAGTGTTAGAACAGATACAACCACGGTCTGTGAAAAAGTAGAAGTTGTAAAGAACAAAACACACCTGGGGAATGTTTGGTTAATTATTATTTTGCATTTGATGTTCAGTAACATCATGTGATTTTGCACCGAGATGAGTGCCATGGGTGTAAAAATATAGGTTTTTGTGAGTTCTAAAATTAGAAATATTAAGTAATAGCGCAAGAAGTACACATTACAAAAAAATACCAAAATCCTGGAAACTGATTTTCCATTCTGTTTTGGTGGAAATATACTTTTGACATAAATTTAGGTACATTTTTTCTTACTTTCAATTTCGAAAAAAATCACATCAGATTTATATGTTACAATTTGTGGGACAAGTGAAGTGATCCATGAATTGTACATGATAGATACATGAACATGTATATACCTTCTTCTTCTTTTTTACATGTTATGAGATATGCAGTGTACAGTAAGAATGTGATTCAGAAATGTTTGGACAAAAGTTAAGTCCTTGGGATTATTTTTAAGTAGATGTAGGATTGATGATGACAGACAACGTTGCACTTAAGAGGAATCCAATCGTTTTTAAGAGGAATCCTTATTGGCTATGTATGTGACTAATAGATCATTTAGAGATTTTTGTGAATGATAGTCCTAGGTCTAACAATTGCAAGGAAATATTGATTCTTGTGTTCTTGCATTCTTTATTATCAAACAAGTTATCACAAAGTACAGTATTTACACCAAAAGCACTTTAAAAACATCCATGTTGATTGTATGTTAACCAAATGAAGAAGCGACAGAAGAATGTTTGCAGGGATTTTATTTGTTTCTTAAAGAGTGTAAATATAGGTTCATGTCCGGTACACACGACAGTCTTCCTATCAGTCTTAGATATACATTTTGTGATACAGCACCAAGATGAGTGCAACACGTATCGTAATACATGTACATGTACAAGTTAGTGTTACATGTAATTCGTTTCATTTGGTAAAGGCTAAGAGAAAGTGCTGATTCAATACAGGCGTTTGTTTTGCCAATTCTGGCTCCATGCAAGTTCCAATATTCTCATTATGACTTATGAGTGAAAAGAGATCACTCAAAACCAATCGTTTTATTGACTAGCTGTGTAGGCCTTTTTGTAGACCACCACGGTGGAAGTACAGACTATTGACACTGAGTTGAATATTATGCCAAGGAGGAAGTGCATATATGGATATGAATCTTCATGGAAAATATCTTAACAAACAAATCACATGGACATTACAGAATGTCAGAACCCAAAGGCCTAAGTCATACTTGGAATAGAAAGTAATGGCCATGAGCCATCAATATTGAGTGACTATTATTATTTTTGTGCGAAATGTACACTGTACTTGCATCTTAATGAGTAATATGTTCTGGTCACCTGAAGGTTTTTGACTGAGTTAAATTGTGAAACATTTAAAACTGTTGTAATTGTTGAAATAAAAATTAATTTCAATTGTTTAAAAAGAAAATTGTCTTGTTGACTGTCTCCTAAAACAAAGGTTGTATTTATTTAGCAGGCATCAGTCGCCCGGAATCCTGTTTCCTGACGTCACATTTGCTTCACATTCGCGATCCGATCCGAACTCAAAAGGGAATGTACATCATTGGCTCTTGATGTAATTTTCAGAACTGAACTATTTGAGGGGTTAGTGTAATAGATCAAATATTGTTACACTGACATGTTTGAAGTTTTGTGTTCGAAAATGCTGGGAAAACCGAGAAAAACAAAAATATTTGAGTAGTCTGGTTCCCTGACTCCACTAAAGATGAAATGAATCAATTTATAGATATCGGAACATTGAATGGTAAGGGCACCAGTTGTAGCTGGCCTGCACCCGTTCATGAACATGTAACCAATAGCAAACAAAATTTGGACTGAAAAAAGTGTAAAGTTGGCGCAGAAGTTCAAAATAGTTAGGTTTTTCCAATGGTGGTCGGCCGACCACCGTTGGAAATGTATACAAAAATACAATTTTCTTGAAAATGACTTCCTACCAGGTGCCATAATTTTACAGGATGCTTTAGACTGTCATTTACCAACATCCTAGTAAGATATTTCATCCTAGTAAGATATTTTTTGGTTTAAATTTTGCCCTGTTGGTGTCGGGAGCGCTTGTATTGTCTCTGCAATGACTCGGTCTTGTGTTGGAGCGAGTTATGTGCCAAGAAAATAATCTCTTGCTTGTGGCATAGGCCTAACTATAGGTCTAAAGTTCAGGGGAACTCATTGGATACATACTTTTTAGGTGGGGTTCGGGTGGGGGCACTGATCTGATGAGGGAACTAATTTTGTTCATCAAGTAAAGATTTTGAAGGGGGGCCACCGGGGGAACGGGGTGGAGCACGTGGCCTATATACATGTAGTTGTACGCCACTGCTTCACGCACGGAGTCAGGCTTGTGTGTACATCTTTCCTGTCATATCCATGAATGCATATTATGCGACCAGTTTCGGTGATAAATGGTTCAAATTAGGACTGCATCTTGGCCTTAAAGGGAAAATACAACATTTGCAAACATCAAAAACTACCAAATCATTTTGAAATACCTCGCTGGACTGTTAGTGAATGACAGTGTAAAGCATCCTGTAAAATCATGGCACCTGGTATACTGTCATTTTCAAGAAAAGTGGTATTTTTGTATCAATTTCCAACGCTGGTCGGCCGACCAGCATTGGAAAAAACTGGCTTTTTTTTCAAATACTGGCCCCAACTGACCATCGCACGTGTTTGCATGATCGATTACACACCTATGAACGGGTACAAGCCAGCTAGACTGGTTCCCTGACCTTACAATTCCCCAATGTATGTAAACTGCTCTGATTCTTCTTAAATGGAGTCAGGGAACTAGACTACAGGAAAATGATTGTTTTTCTTGGTTTTTATAGCATTTTTGAACCCAAAACCTCAAAAAAGTCAGTGTAACTATATTTGCTATATATTTCCAACCCCCCAATTCCATCCATTTCTGAAAATTACAGCAAAAGCAAATGATGTATATTCATCAACGGGTTACCACCTGTGGTACCACCTGTGTGATGATCAACAACCTCGCCAATTCAGGCGCATTGTGGCGAAATGAGCTATACACTCTTGTGGCGGGAATAACTAGATGACACAACAGTCTGACCTGATCGAAGGATGGAATTGGACCTGACCAAGTTAACCCACAAAAAATATTTATTAACCTCACGCAAGGAGGAGTGGCTACCAAAACGCAAGGGGGGGGGGGTATAGTTAACGAACGGCGGACTAAGCCTAGGGGCAGTTTGTTTGACGGAAATATACCGCCAATCTGTGATTCAGCAATAGACTTTATTGATAATAGAGGGGACTAACTTATTCAGATATATCCCACAGAGAGCTAGACTAAGCTTCACAGTGACGAGTGATTCCAAAGACGATGATCAATAATCTTTAATCCAGGCTCACACTTGACATGTACATATGTTTATACACACAACGACAATCTTATACAAGGATAAGCTACTAGAGTATACAAATAATCTTAGCAAGGGTCAAGTCTCTTTTATTACAACCGCGAGTGGTCAACTGCACCACTTCATAAACTTGACTTATCATAAACTTAATATAAGGCCAACAAAAAAAGTCTCTGGTTTCTGGTATGGAGCTTGCCCAAAATGTGGTGCGGCGACGTGGTTTTTTTTTTTTTTACCTGATTTTTTTTGCTTCAAATGTCGGCTGATGACTGCAAATGGTGCCCGACTAAACTTAGTGCAAATATATGGGAGTCCAGAGAGGCCACATAAAGCTTATTCTTGACCATAACCCAATCTAAAAACACGTTAAAATTGTGCAGCAGCAGGATTCCAGTCAAACCAGTGAGTTTGGCGGTCTTGAGACATCATCTTTCATTGAAAAAAAAAACTTTTTCAGTTTGCCGACGCGCATGGCTACGGCGACGCGCGCGCATACCAGATACCAGAGACTTTTTTTTGCCTAATATAAAGCTTAATTAAGGCTCAACTGTATTTGAAGACTTAATATAAAACTTAAGAGCTTAACCTTTGCTTTAAGGTTTAACACAAAAAGCTTATCTTTTATTTAGTAATTCAATATAATAGTAAAGGCGTTAACTTGTTCTTTATTATATAATATAAGACTTAAGAGATACCTCCTACTTTGTATTTCAATATAAACCTTAAGGGTCTATGTTTTACTTTGTAAGTCAATATAAAACTTAAGAGTTGTCTTTCTCTTTATGACTCAATATGAAACTTAACGAGTTAACTTGGACTTTGTATTTCAATATAACTCTTAAGGTGTTATGTTTTACTTTATAATTCAATGAAACACATAAAGGCTTAACTTTTACTTTATAAAACAATGAAAGACTTAAGAATTATGTGCCTCAAATAAACCTCAAAATTATGTGCCTCCAATATGCCTCAAATATACCTCAGGACTTGTGTATACCTCAAATATACCTCAAATTATGTGCCTCAAAATATATACCTCAAATATATCTCAGGGCTTGTAACTTATCAAAAAGTGGTCATCTGCACCACTGAACGAAATAATTGGGAAGTGTTCTTTCCCTTAACTCAGAATAACATAAACGGTCTACAATAACAAGCTAGATTGATACACGAATAATCCTAGCTGACTTCTTGACAATCACACAAGCCAAACTGCAAAATGAGGTACATGTACTTGTGACTCGTAAAATAACCCACACACTCGGCAGGTTATTCCCAAGCACTCAAAATAACCCCGTGATTATTTAGAGGGTGATTAAAATAGTCTCCGTAGTTCCCTCCGCCAGCTTCGGGAAGCTTACCCAGTAAGCGTATGGAAATCGCGAGCGCTCTGATCAGCCAGGGCCGCCCAACCGCAGCTACACCATGTTCGGCACAGAACAACGGCATGCAATTCCCTCTAAAGTCAGGTGAACTTTTCAGTGTACATGTAGCCGGATTTAGTTCCTTGCATTACCCTGATAATTTAAGTCTTATTTACTAAGATTTTAGTGGGTTATTGGAAGTTACAGGCATGCAACTTTTCAGCTGATCATCTGATTTCCTCTTTTTTGACCTCCCCTGTGTGCCATTGAAAATAGAAAAACACTGTACAAAGTCTGGGAAAAAATTTCAATTTCCTCTTGTTTTGTGATTTCCCAGTTGCATGCCTGAAGTTAGAAAGTAGGAATTATTTAAGATTGTTTGAGGGTCTAATTAGGAGAATAGCCGATCAGACCCCGGGGTGAACCTGAGTTGGGAATAAGTGAAGGCCTAGTTCAGTCCGAAGACTGCTATCCGTTGTCTGTGCCATCTGGCGTTGCTGCGGTATCACGTCCATAGAGGTCTGGGAGCACTCTCTATTAGGAGATCTGCCTGCCGTTGATCCGTACCAATTTTGGCGTGGGCGACGGTCGGGGCGACTGGACACCTGAGAGCTTGTCCGCGTTCTCCTGCTTGGGAATTATTCGCCTGACTTAAGAGGAGATACGACGCGTCGCAGCGCTGCAATGCATCGTAAGTTACGAAGAGTTTGATGAAATCGGGTGCTGGTATTGATATGCTTACAAGGTAGCAGACCAGTAAATAAACTTCCATAGACCCCAATGGTAAATGCTCCAACTTCAAAAAATACTCACAACTCTCCAAGGTGTTCGAGACACACATCAAATTAAAGCTTATTTCATCATCTTTCATTTTCTTTTCGATTTGGGCGGTCAACGGATTACTTTTAGGAGAAATTTTCGTCTGAAGATGATCACCCCTGAAAATAGTCCTGAAGCCCATCGCCATTTTGAAAAACGATGCCTACACTCCATTGCAAAATAGAGCGCTTTTATGGTCCAAATTACATCCAAATTACACAGAACTGAAAGCTCCCAGTCCTGTGCACGGCTTCCGCCCATATTCTTTACAAACCCTCAAGTTCATGGCCCACAGCATGCTCAAATACTGAAGATTTTGAGGGCATGCAAATCGCGATTTGGCCGGCGTAGGCAATTTCGGACCGATTTACTGGTCGGCACCCTATAAAGAAGCGGTTTTGAAAAATTTCCCCAAACCACTTGTACGGCACGAGGAAGGATGATGACTCATAATTCATTTAAAAATTGCGAGGAAAAAAAATCTCTGACTGCGATTTCTGGCCTGAAAATAAGACGTCTGTTTGCGGCTACCTTGCTGTAGGGCGCCCCCAACGGGAGTTAATTGAGGTTTTGCTCCTTCCGACCCCAAATTACCGCCCCCCCCCCCCCCCCCCCTGTTCGCTCGAAATTGCTGTGATCGGACGACGGTCCATCGGCCCCATTCAGATTTTGGGCGCATTTGTTGCGGAACCGCCATTGCTGACCCCTTTTGAAACGTTGCCCCCCCCCCCCCAGGTTCCGCCCCCTGGAAAAAAAATGTCGTGCAGTGTAAAGCGCCTGCGCAAACATTTGACAACAAACGATGGAAGGCGCCATTCTGAAATTATATGGGCCCAAGCTGCAGAGCG